TTAAAATCCTAAGTTCAACCATGACTGTTTTCCTTCCTTGGCATGATATTTCCAAGGTCTTGCTGGCTCAGAAACCATAATATTCTGCAGAACATTTGTTTGTCTACTTATTTTTACAAGTCTGAATACCATTCCTAACCAAATATTCATCTGTCGTTTTTTAAAAAAAATATTGACAGAAATAACTGCTTTAGTTGGTGGGCTGCTGTTCCACATATCCACTGCTCTGGGGGAAAATGAAGAATACCTGTGATTTTAAGTATTTGATGTTTGTGAACATTGTTCTCCTCTATTTGTCTTTCACTGATTCCACTTAGCATTGAATAAACTTTAATATCTCGTCTCAAACTTTCTATTGAAAACAAATTCTGTTCCATAAATTTCATAATTTATAGTTGCAGGCTCAGAATATTCCTTGCTGCTTTTCTGAACCCATTCCAATGAATTTTTGAACGTAGAGTGCCTAATATTGCACAAATCAAATACTCCAAATGTGGGTTCACCAAATTTCACTATCTCGTATGATCTGTTAGGCAATCAATGGTTGATGGGTTTTTTTTCAGGTCTTTCTGTGTTTCCAGCATCTTGTTACAGTTGGCAACTTCAGTGAGTAAGATGGAAACTCCGGATTATATATAAAAACAGATAAAATCTATTATGAAAAAAAATTAAGGTACATGGATAGCATAATGTTTCAGTGGGGAAAAACACTTTTTTTGTTTTATTTGGCAAAGGTGATGACAAGTGAATATATTGAGTCTGAGTGGAAGAGGCACCCTTTTTTGTTTTATTTGGCAACTACGGTAAATTGCCGCTGTAGGTCAAAACACACTATAAGGAGGGGAGATGGATAGTACTTTATTTGATGACGGGTAGGAGAAAGCTTAACTTATAATATGATGAGTTGTGCTCTTAAAAGGACAGGTGTTCTTAAAAATCTCACAGATGGGTTATAGTGGTTTTGATCAATTACCATGACTTTGATATATGGAGGTAGAATGAAGAATACTTCACTGTTGATGAATATCCTTTTCATTTTCACTGGTGTGAAATCCCATTATCAGGCTCTGAATATATGAACAAAATGCACAAAACCAGGAAAGTTCTTGTGAAAAAAACACATTCCAGCCACACTAAATTTTAGAAACGATCTGATCAAGATTTCAGGTTCTTTATTTGCCAGACTAGAGTTCTGTATGATTTTCAATTTTTTTTTCTTCAGCCGCTCTAAAAATAGTGTTAAACAGAGAGCAAGTCACCTGATAACTGGAAGTTGCTCCAGAAATTGGAACCTGACCTGGAAAATGGAAAGAACTTTTTTTTTAAAAAAGAAGACAGCTGGTAGAGTATTCTATATGTTTCTGGATCAGTTGGATGAAGAGCAGTGAAAGAATAGCTGGCGGAAACGACTGTTGTCGTTAAACAGTTGGTGGGGAAAATTGAAAAAAATAAAAATGTGCTGGGTTTCATCAGTGAGTTTAGTGAAAGGTCCTTTGTTCTCTGTCCGAGTTTCTTTTTCTAAGAAAAAGCTAAAGTTGCTTTAGGCAGAACCAGTAATATTAAGCAGCTGTGCCTGAATTCTGTGTGGCTATTGTGGACCTGTTAATTCGAGCAGTGCTCGAAAACTGATAGAAAAACAGGAGTCACCTTAAAATATGAATTTCAACAATTCGCACAAATTTGCAAACTCACCTTAAACTACTAATTTCTAGAAAATGCTATAGTGCAGTTTACTGGTGAAGTAACTGTTGCCTTAAGAATGATCAATTCTGCCCGCTAGGTCGTGTAGTAATTAGCCATGGCAGTAAACACTAATAATATAATAATAATCCTTGCATTTGATATAGAGCTTTTCACATCTTCTAGATGTCTCAAAGCACTTCACAGAATATGCTGTAAAGTGAATTGACTGTATATTTGTGGGCAACATGCGGCAGCCAATTGTGCACAGCCAGCAGTGCCCCACAAACAGTTGTGAATTGAGTGACCAAATTATTATTTTTTTCTTGAATTATTATCATGCATAATATGAATAACATAACATAAATGAAATATGTTCATTTCATAAATTACTATTGTGTTATAGAATTAACAATTTAATTGAGAACACCATCAGAATTTCAAACTGAAAATGTAAAATATATTTTTAATTTATCAGTAAGTCTCAGTATATTATATAGTAGTTTCAACTTCAAAGCTCTGTTGACCTTCATGACTGAAGCAAAATTGTAATCTCTGCCTTTAGTCATGGAAATTAAAGTTATATTTTTCAATTGTTGTACTTGACATCCCATGGGTAACCAGATAACCCAACAGGAGAAAACAATTCAGTGCTACTTATCCCTGCAAGCTATTTTAGGCAGAATCATGCACCCTCCCTGCTGGCCCCCAATTGGTAATTTTCTCTTATTTTTCTCTTCCAGTAACTCCTGCCATGCCGAATGAGAAGCTTTCTCTCAAGTAGTACTGTGAAGTTTTGATGACCTAAATTATTTTGTCAAACGTAAGTGTTTTACAGTATCAGTTTTATGTCAGGTTTGAAATTCTGTACTGATCACCACTCTTATCACCTGTGTTGCAACCGGTTCTATCTCTAAATCATAATCTGAGTTAATGTATGTTCTATGCATATTTTTAAATAAGCATGAAAGACTAAAGACTATTGTACACCCCTTCATCATTTACACATATAGAGTACATTGGACTACAGCTGTTCCAAAATATTGTCATGACTACAGACATTCTTCTCTCTATTAGATCTCAGTCCCATAACATCCAGACTGGAATAAAATTGGTAATCAGAGCCTGAAGTTAATAGAAGGTTTTCTTTTGAAGCTGCAATGTTATTTCTAGTGTAAATTGATGCAGCTTCTTGGCACATCATCCAGCGGTAGGAGAAATGTTGTGAGCTTCTTTTCAGGTTTGTATAATTAGTTGTTTTGTCACAATTGAGCTTAACCCAATAAATTTGCAGTGCTCAAATAGGTCCCAGCTGTACTAGAACAGCTTTTGTTAAATCTCCTGGGATTCTACTTCAGTAATTGTGAAAATGGTTTTAAGGACCACTTTCCAGAAGGTTTGCATTGGAAAGATATATTCCCAGCATATTTATCAAGATGCTCATTTCCTTCTTACAGGATCAAATGTCTATGGAATCCAATCTGCAGGCAATTAAGCACCGTAAAGTGCAATGATCAGTCTGGCATTAGGGCTTGCTATTTTGGTATGCTCCCTAAATATTTTTTTCCACTAACAGGGATAATAATAATCTCATGTTTACACACTATTTTGTCTACAAAAACAGTCACTACACTTTACTGTGTGAAGTGTTTCAAGACATTTGATGTTTTTAGTATTATTCTAAATCCAAGGATTATTTGAATTTACTTTTAACTGGTGTATAATTTCACCACAATATGGGCTTTGCATCTTAATAAAATATTATTGAAGTCGTGCTGGTATACAGTAATTTATTGACCTAAGTCTGCAGTGGTAGGGCCTAACAAAAAATCAACTGTTTTACTGCAATAAACTTAGTATAGACTTACATTGGGTTCATGATCCAGAACTAATCTTTGATAGGCATTTTGTGCATACATATCATGCCGGGTATAAAGCTCTGGATCAAGAAAATAAAGATCTTATCTTAGGTAAAGATTCTTTAGATGTCATATACTATACCCTAAGCTTAAGTCTATGAGTTCATCTTCTTCAGATGTGTTTATAATGCTGATAAACAATTTCAGAAATAAGAAAGATCAGTGACTACAACTTTATTCCCCTCAATTTAGTTTTAAAAAATATCCTACACCAACATAATGGTTCAACTTATCTTCAGATCGCTTTACTCAAACATAATAACCTAAATTTATATATTGTTGCATTTTTTGCATAAATAAAACGTCCAAAGCACTTTACAAAATATGATTAGAAATGAAAGGGAATTGTTAATTGTCAAATGAAATATTCAATCTGCCAGCAATTATTGAGTACAAAGCAAATGTACCATATTATATGGCGAGACATGGCGATACAAGCTTATACTATCAGGTACAAATTTAATACATTTTAGGATTATGATGGTGATTGAATATCTGAGTCGTTTTAGCTTAGCAGAGATGCTGCATATCACTCCATATGGTCATGTGTAATGTTTCCTGTCCCACCCCCACCACCACTGCCAAATGGGGCTTAAATATACAGCTTTGTCAATTCTCCCTGAATGCCTATGGTTAAAATGAATGATTTTAAGGCTTCTGTTCTGAAAATTATAACATATGCTTGTAGCTTTAGTAGATTATTCGTTCCCACATTGATCTAGAATTGGAAAAAAANTAGTCCCATCATTCTTTATGCCAAGTGCGAGCAGTGAAGACATACAACCTCCATGATGATAGTTGGAACAATATACAGTACACTTGATTGGGCAATTGGCGTTTGGGTCTCTCAGGAACTCCATCCCTCCTTTGGTCTCAGGGAGACCCTCACCTCCTTCAAGATCTGTCTCAAGACCTTACTTTTTGATACATCTTGGTAATCTTCCCTGCACCTCTTCCTGGCCCCCGCCCCTCTCCAATCCAACCCTCAGTGCTCAGATGTAAATCACCCCAACTGTCCAGTACGTTCTCCCCACATGAAAGGCGCTATATAAATGTAATTTAGTTTTGTTGTACCATTGGGAACTTGCTGTGGATGGACCAAGGTTTGTAACCCTTTACACATATTTTTATAGCTTCCTGCTCCTTTAAGAATGACCCAATTTGTTACGAGATTGAGAAAATCAAATAGGTCAGTGTAGGGCAGGATTGAGGATTGGGATTGTACGACACCAGGACATGACACGCCTTTCAAACCCCACCCTTTACTCAAAAGCACTTCCGGGTTTTTAGAGCTGACCAATGGGCGGCCTCCGTCGAGCTGTCCGTCCAGCGGGTGGGCGGGGCGCCGCAAAACTCGGCTTCTGATTTGCTACTGGAACCGATTGTTGCGGACGGAAAAGCGCCGGCGGGAAGTTTGTAAACCTTGAGCATTGGGATCACTCAGCACTGCTCAGCCAGGTGAGTGTGTGTGTGTGTGAGTGTGTGTGCACAAACTGTGCTTACAAGCGGTGTTGGGTGGGGATCACTGCAGCTGGAGGTTCACTGCTGTTGGTATAGCAGCTTACTGCAACGAGACACTGGCTGGTATTAATAGCAATGTTGCTGGAGGGAGAGACTCAGGCTGGTATTAAAAATGTTAGAGAAATTAAAGCAGTGAGAAACTCTGGCTGATGTTTTACAGAAAAGTTGGCAGCGAATAACTGGCCGGTTTAAATAGAAGTTTTTTCTCTTTGGCCGTGCCTTCAGCTCCCCTCTCGACTCTCTACCCCCCTCCTCGCTCCTTCCCCTCACCCTGACCATTTCCCCCCTGGCTCGGGTCCTGACCTAACTGTACAGCGCCTTGGGACGTCCTCCCGACGTGAAAGGCGCTCTATAAATGGAATCTTCTTGTTGTTTTAGTGCATTATAAATCATTTTAAAAAGTACAGAACTTCTCTGATGGCTAAGCCTTAGATCATTTCGTTAAAGACACCATTTTGTGTAAAAATGAGCTAAATCTAGCACAGAGATCTCTGGTTTAATTCTTAGTTTTTTTTGTGAAAGTGAATTGTTCTCAGCCAGGCAGATTATAAGGCTTTAGTGCCTTTGAGCTAGGAAGTAAACTCTACCTGGGTTGATCATTATCTAGTAACCTCTCATGGAAATAGATGCCTGTGGCTTTTGAGTTAGGACATGATCAGGCTTGTATTTAATGACACTTCTTCGGGACCCATAATCTTGAACACTCACTGTGTAGGTTCACTCATAAAGCAGGGACACAAAACCGTATACTCCAACTCTCCAATGCAGTTCATTGACAGGGGTGCTGTCCTTTGGATGAGGTGTTAAACCAAGGTCCCATCTGCCTGTCCAGGTGAACGCTAAAGATCCCCTTGCATTATTTGAAAAGAGAAGGGAGTTTTTTCCCGGTGTTCTGACCAGCAATTCCCCATATAAAATTGGTCACTTACTCCATGGCTATTTGTGTGAAATTCCTATGTGCAAGTTCGCTGCCGTGTTCACCCGCAAAATACACAGACACAACACTTTGCAGTATATCCTGTGAAATGCTTTGAGGCACTTCAATGATGTGATAAGGTTCTATATCAAATGCAAGATTGATTATTATTATTAAATTCTGTGAAGCACTTTGAGATGTCTGAATGATGTGATAAGGTGCTATATTAAATACACAAATTATTATTATAATAATATCAGGGGTAAAAGAAGTTGATACATGATGCATTGACAGCTAGTCTGTTATAATTGCAGCTTAATTTCACTATGGTTCAATTTGTGATGTTAATTGAATGAAAGTCTTTGACTGACTGGTAGTTCCATAGCAATCAGTTACTGTCACATGTGTTCTCAGGTAGCTTGCCCACTCATTTCTGCATCTACTGTTAATGGGAACACATGCAACAATTGAAAAAAAATGTAAAATGCCACATTTAGCTTGTTTGAGTATTCTGGTACTAATGGTCACCGTTCTGAAATGTCTATTGCCTTACAGCTTTGAGCATGGCTGAATTGGATGCTTTAATTGATCAGTGCCCACTTCTGCTGCCTCAAAACAGGGAGAAGACTGTGTACGATGGCTTTATTACCGTTAAGGTACAATGATGTAACAGTATGATTGGCACATGCCAGTACTAATAACATTCAATTGTGTTTTAAATAGATGGGTAGAACTTTTTTGTGCTGATGTGCTTCCTGAGCTAGAGCAGGAAATAATATAGTTGTAAAATTACATTGTGTATGCACAGAGGAATCCTTGGTTCACCTTCATTACTCAGAACCCATTTCCTCCACACCTGAGAGCTGATCTGGAACAGTACCAGTTGGGTATTCCTGCATACTTGTCGGATAAGCAATTTAAGATCAGTTTACTGGACAATCTAAAGTTCCTGGCCCTGTAAACTAAATTGAACTGTTTCAGGACCTGCCCAGCTCCTCCATTGCAATGTGCATCACCCAAATAATTTAGGAATATAGCAGGCAGGTCTCGGGTGCAAATAATTTGACAAAGCACAGAACATAATGTTATAACATGGCCCTCACAGTTTCCAATTATAACCAGTAAAAATCTGTTTTTGTCAATTTTACTCCCAGGTGCATTCCCTTTATCTAACATAGTGCGTTGTTCGCTTGTCTTTTTGTTGTTTTGAACTACAAAAATGCACACAGGAAGTGAGGTCTGTGGCTACCTTACAACCAGCGTTTCAAAACAAGTCTGTTGCTTTTTTGGTTGAAAAGATTGCTTAAAAACCTGAAAAAAAAGTGTCAATAATATCTGTCAAATTTTAAAAAATCAAAAAACAAAAAAGGCAACCCTAATTAGAATCATAGAATATTACCACATAGAAGGAGGCCATTCAGCTCATCATGCCTATGCTGGCTCTTTGGAAGAGCTACCCAATCAGTCTCACTCCCCTGCTCTTTCCCCATATCCTTGCAAATTTTCCTCTTGAAGTACCTATCCAATTCTCTTTTGAAAGTTGTTATTGAATCTGTTTTCACTACCCTTTCAGGCAGAGCATTCCAGGACCGTAACAACTCTTTTTTTTAAAAAAAAAAAATTCTCATCTCCCCTCTGGTTCTTTTGCCAATTATCTTGAATCTATGTCCCCTGGTTATCGACTTACCTGCCAGTGGAAACAGTTTCTCTTTATCTAATCTATCAAAACCACTAATAATTTTGAACACCTCTATTAAATCCCCCCTTAACCTTCTTTGCTCTAAGGAGAACAATCCCGACTTCTCTAGTCTCTCTACATAACTAAAGTCCCTCATCCCTGATACCATCCAGGTAAATCTCTGCACCCTCTCCAAGGCCTTGATATCCTTCCTAAAGTGTGGTGGGGGCAGAGTGGCTGGAGGCCCGCCCGCCAACATGAAGCAGACTGGAGCTCACTGAGCAGAGAGAGGAGTCAGGTTGGTAGAGGGTTAGGAGGTCGCAGAGGTAGGGGGGAGCAATGCCATGGAAGGCTTTGAAGGTGAGGACCAGGATCTTGAACTGTATCCTCTGTGTGATGGGAAGCCAGTGGAGATGGGCGAGGATGGGGGTGATTGGGTCACGGAGCCTGGTGCGGGAGAGGACACGTGCTGCAGAATTCTGAATGATCTGCAGCCTGCGGTCTGCAGCCGAGGAAAGAGCTGGGGAGGCCGACAAGCAGGGAGTTTGCATAGTCAATCCTGGATGTTAGAAAATGCGTATATGAGGGTTTCGGCGGCCTGTGTTGTGAGACAGTGGCAGAGCTGGGCGATGTTGCGGGGGTGGGGAAAGGCAGAGAGGGAGATGGCAACGATGTGGGGTAAAAAGGATAGTTGAGGGTTAAACAAGACGCCAAGGTTCCGGACCAGCTTAGTTAAGGTGGAATATGCATCCATGGCTGGTGATGTGTCAGTGCCTGAGGTGAGGAGGCGCTGATGGGACCCAATCAGGAGAGCCTCGGTCTTGTTGACGTTCAACTGAAGAAAATTAGCTCTCATCCAAGACTGATGTCTGACAGATATTCTGTCAGGACAGCAGTGGGCCTGGAGTCAAGGCTGGAGGCAGAGAGAGATACAGTTGGGTGTCATGCGCATACATGTGGAAGTTGACCCCATGTCTTTGGATGATGTCACCAAGAGGAAGCATATAGATATTGAAGGAGGGGACCGAGGAACGCCCCATTAGCCGGTGCTGGGGCTAGCGGAGAAACCATTTGTGGAGATGAAGTGGTGTGAGAGGTATAACAACAACTTGCATATAGTGTCCTCCAAGGAGGGTAGTGTTTCAGAGCGCTTAACAGTGTCGGAGCCTGATTCCGTACCGGGGCGGGGATGGGGGAAGGTGGCCGTAAGCATGGTCAAAGAGGAAGGTTTTCAGGTGTGACTCGAAAAAGGGAAGAAAGGAGGCAAGGTGGAGGGATTGAGATAGAGTGTTCCAGAGTTTCAGGGCATAGTGGCTGAAAGCGTGACCTCTGATGGTGGGACGGAGGGTTTGAGAGACGAGCAGGAGGCCGGCTCCAGTCAAGCGGAGGTGACGGGTGGTGGATTGGGGAGTGAGGAGAGCAGAGAGGTGCCAGAGGGTGAAGGGATTTCAACACGAGAATGAGCTTCTTGAAGTCCATCTGTTTGGTGATGTGGAACCTGGAGAGGACTGGTGAGATGTGGTATGGAGTTTGGTCCGGGTAAGTGTGCAGGCGGCAGAGTTTTGAAAAGGCGGGATCTGAACCATTTAAGGACAGAACCATGAACGTTGAGGTGAAAGGAGACATGGTGGGGGAGGATAAACTGGTCAACGTAACAAAGGCAGCAGAAATGTAAAGGAGGATGACGAGGCAGATGGACAAAATGTTGTCACTTTGACCAAGTCCGTTTCTGTGCTATGGGCGGTACGGAAACCCGATTGGAGTGGTTCTATCGTGATCATATACATACATCTGTGGTACCAATTGATCAAAAGTCCAATTTACAAGAATTGTTCTCACACAGACTCCTTTTTATTGGTTCTTTCCAGAGTTGCTGCTACAGAGCTGTCGGCAGATCCAGTAGTTCCCAGAGTGTGCATTGTTCATCTGAGAGCATCTATTGTAATGCTGTATTTCTTTGAGTGCTAGAGAGATATACAACAATGCTTTTGCTCAGTTCAACGTAATAGCACTATAGTGTGCTTGAGCAGTTGCATTGGGAACTGCTAATTCCATTATCATCTGGGCAAAGTCTGCTGCCCTGAATGAACACCATAGAATTTAATGATACCTCTCCAGAGAGCTGGAGATACACTGACTCTGTTATCAGATGTTTTGTATTGTATTAGGTTCATCGTTTTACAGTACCTCTTTCTCTGTTCACAACGCAGCATTCAAAAGACTTGATAAATGGAACAGCTCTATCATGTTGTCTGAAGAAAATTAATGGTGACTACCGTGATACAGTAATAAAACAAAGTTTTGTGTCTACCAGGAAAAGGACTTTCGCATAAGAATATTGTTACCCAACGAGAAACATCTAAGGCATGCAAGGTACGGATGATAATTGCAGCATTTGCACTTGCTCAGTGTAACTCTCCCGAAATCCCTCCTCCTCCATGCAGATGCTCTCTCTTTTTCATCCTCTGCTTTCAAAATCCTTCTAAAAGCCAGCTTTTGAATGCATAGAGTTAAATGCCAATTGTTTTGACAGAATATTTATTGAAATGAACTTCAATGTGTTGAGTTGACAGATTACTGCACCAATAGAATAAAATATCTTGCCTTTCTACTTCCTCATTCTATCTTATTTTAAGATGTTTAGGGGACTTTAAGTAGAGGTTTGTCAAATAGCTCAATTGAGGGGTATAGGTAATTTTTTAAAACTTTGGGATCGACCAGACAATTTTTTTCCAGGTCTGTAAGTTGCTAATTTTAGTTCAGTTTTGACTGCGGTTCTAATTAAGATTCATATCTTCTGCCTCGCCTATTGCAAAGACCTCCTAAGCAGTAATTGCCTAATTTTGTTGCACCTCAAATTGTGCTTGATATATTTCAGTCTAATATATTGCAGTGAAACCATTTGATCAACATCATGCGGGCTTTTCTTTGAATGCCTCTATTACTGTTCTCCCTCCGCTCCCCTTGACGCATGATTTTGTAAAAAAAAAAGTATTATGTGCTACAGAAATATTTAAGTGTTCCAAGACCCTACCTCGTGTGAAGGGCACTATATAAGTTGTTGTTGTTTATTGAAGACCAGCACTGTTGAGAACTATATAAAGTAACTATATAAAGTAACCATAGATGAGATTGGACTAGGTGAGGTGTGGTATTATACCAGTCTAAGGCCCAGAAACCCAAGGATTTTTTATATTTATTTGAAATTCTGAACTAGATTTCTCAATTAAGGGATATGGGGCAAGGGTTGAGTAACATGATCTTATAAAATGGGGGAACAGTCTCGAGGGACTGAATAGCCTACTCCTATTTCTATGTTTCTACTTTTCATATTTCCTCTGACAGCCTCGCAGTCTGTTGTTAATTGGTATCCAGATCTGTAAGTTGCCCAGCGATCAAGAAATAATGTTCGCTTCTTCAAATGTCAATCCCAGCATGACGTGATAAACTAGGTTTTATGTTGACGCTTTTGCAAATACAAACCAGAGGAAAGATTGATTTATAGAGTGCTTTTAGTTTGTGTTGATTTTCGATAATGGTTTTACTTCTAACTTATGAATTAACTTGTTGCACCAGTTGTTTTGAAGTCGCTAGTCAACCCATAGATGCGTTTTTGCCATGTTTTATATTTTCATTAGAAACATAGAAATGTTCTGCCCATCATGTCCGTGCTATGACTTTGGACCCTTTTTAAAGTGAATTGTGAGTGTGTTCCTTTCCTGAAGACCTAATATGTTGTGTAATATTTTGAGAAAAATCAGTTGACATATTCAAAACCAATGAAATGTTGTTTTAGACAATTCTTAGGTCTAAGATTTGCAACTTGTCTTTTGGATCTGGTCCAGAAAACCTGCAATGTAGAGTTCAGGATCTCTTATTGTCCCCAGAGATTTCACAATCCTTGCCATATTGGGTGGTTCAGTTGGTTAAGTGCTGGGACTGGGTTGGAAAGATTCTGGGTTTCAGTTGCTGTGGACTTGAAAGTGTAGACACTTCCTCAACCCTGCAAGTCAAAGGGCCTATTGGGCAGTGCTGTCCTACCAAAACAATAACAACAAGATTACATTTGTATAGTGCCTTTCACATCAGGAGGACGTTCCAATGCGCTGGACAGAGTACAGCATTTCAGACCCGAGCTGGGGCTGGGGGGGGGAAGGGAGGGGAAGGGAAGGGGGGTGGCCGATGGCATGGACGAAGAGGAGGGTCATGAGGCGGGACTTGAAGGAGGCTAAGGAGGGGGCGAGGCGGAGTGACTGTGGGATGGAATTCCAGAAGTTGGGGGCAAAGTGGCTGAAGGCTCTCCCGCCAATGGTGGGGTGGGTGGGTCGGGGAACGTGGAGCAGGCCGGAGCCGGCTGAGCGGAGGGAACGGGCAGGTTCGTAGGGGGTTAGGAGGTTGCAGAGGTAGGGTGGGGCGAGGCCATGGAGGGCTTTGTAGGTGAGGACCAGGATCTTGAACTGGACCCTCTGAAGGATAGGGAGCCAATGGAGTTGGGCGAGAGTGGGGGAGATGGGATCACGGAGTTTGGTGCGGGAGAGGACATGGGCTGCAGAGTTCTGGATTATCTGCAGCCTGTGGAGGGAGGAGTTGGGAAGGCCAACAAGCAGGGCATTTGCATAGTCGAGCCTGGAGGTGATGAAGGCATGAACAAGAGGTTCAGCGGCCTGAGGGGTGAGATAGCGTCGGAATCGGGTGATGTTACGGAGGTGAGGGAAGGCAGAGCGGGTCATGGCTTGAATGTGGGGGAGAAAAGACAGTTGAGGATCGAACAAGACACCTGGGTTCCTGACTGGCTTGGTGAGTTGAAGTGCAACCATGGAGGTTGATGCTGCCAGAGCCTGAGGTGTTGAGGCGCTGGCGTGAGCCAATCAGGAGGGCCTCAGTCTTGTTCACATTCAACTGTAGGAAATTTCCCCTCATCCAGATCTTGATGTCCGACAGGCAGTCTGTCAGGACAGCAGTGGTCCTGGAGTTGAGGGTGGAGGCAGAAAGATAGAGTTGGGTGTCATCCGCATATGTATGAAAGTTGACCCCATGTCTGCGGATGATGTCACCAAGGGGGAGCATGTAGATATTAAAGAGGAGAGGGCCAAGATGTGACAGTGCAGGTACTGGAGGATGGGGGGGATGGGTGGGGGTGGGTCATGAGGGAGAGGTGATGTGGAGGTGGCTGTGGATGAGGCTGAGGTGGCTGAATGTATCCCCTCGGGGGTTGTCCTTTGCCTCCAAGATAACCTTGGCGTAGAAGGAGGATTTGGCGGAGGCAAGAGCGCAGCAGCAGGTCTTGGTGTGGTGAAGCCAAATCTGCCAATGGACCGTTAGTTTGGATTTGGTCCAGGCGAGTTCGGCAGCTCGCACTTGTGCCTTGAGGGAACGGAGATGGCTGGTGTACCAGGGGGATTTATGGGAGTATGAGGCAGTTCGGGAGGTGAGGGAGTCCAGAATGGAGGAGAGGGAGTTTTGGAGAAAGGAGAGTGAGGAGGGGAGATCGGTCAGTGAGGGCCAGAGTTGTAGGAGTTCAGATGACTCCAGGGCAGTGGAGAGGGAGAGGGAGGAAATTATTTTCCATGGACGGTATGTAATGGTGGAGGGTTGGGAAGGGGTACTCAGGTGTTGAGGGAGATGAAATGGTGGTCCGAGATGGCTTTATCGACGGTTGGTGATGTCCGAGTACAGAAAGTACTACTTAACATTGTTGCTTCAGAATTCTTTAGACACCATAAAGAAAGCAAGGACAGTACCTCAGTACTAAGGAGACCTCAATTTTTGCACTCTGGTCATGAACCAACGTGTTCAATTTGGCTTCTCAAATCTACGTTTCTGTTTGATAGCTGCACAGATCATCACAGAGGATCGACGGAAACGCGATGTACTGTTTGTTCTCCAAAGTTAGCTTTAAGCAAAATCTGTTTGTTAAAAGATTTAGTTTTCAAAAAATATATAATGGAACCCAGCACGTTTCCCCTATTGATGTCTCAGCTCTTGATTTGTTAAAGCAAGTGTATTTCAGTGTATTTGTAGTCCTTATGTGTGGTTCCTGCTCCTCACCCTATGAAGTCTGGCATTTATCTATTGTTTTCCCCAAAAAAAACACTTTGCCCTTTTCAACCTGGGCATGACAAGCTTTCTAAACTTTCCTTTTTTTTGTATTTTTTCCACCACTTTTGAAGACTCCAGTGCAGCTGGCAGTTAAAACGGGTCTTGCGTGGCTACCAGCATGTTGTGAAACAGGTAATGTACAAATATAATGGTTTCAACATAAAATTTTTACATTGATTGCCATAAATTGGCGCTAAAGAGTAAAATTCAATTGGCATCTTACTGAACGGCATGGGGTGGAGGGGACAGGGTGGGGAAAGAGAAATCAACTCTTAAGAAAAAAAACGTACGATTATAACACTTACTTTTGTGATGACAGACCACAGTAGGATGTCCAATAAACATGAGAGGTCACACTGGCTGCTTCAGTCTTGAGTTTCTTCTGTTCCGTTTTCCATTCCTGTTGCTAATTTTGTAGTTCTGATGTGAGATGAAATAATAATGATCCTTACATTTAGATTGCAACTCAAAGGTGCACAATTAATATTTGCTATATGTGTTGGGGCCAAAACCCAGAGAAATAGGCATTTCTTTTAACAATTTTAGCAAAGCTTTATTTGTACTTGCAGTTTGCTTGCATTTATATAGAAGCCTTCACGTGAAGGAATGTTTCTAAGTACCTTATTCACTCTTTTACATTTCACCTTTGTGACATTTTTCAGTTCAGTTGGTCCTTGTTTGCATAGACATCAGTTCACTTAGACATTTGCAGTGTGATTTCAGCATTTAGATGCCAGCACTAAGTCCAAGTAGCCTTTGTTGACTGAAGGTCAGTGTCCATTTTTTTGTTTATCACATGGACAGTACTGATTTTTGTTTCTTTGTGTTGCCATCAGACACCAGGAGAACACTACTCTGAGGGTTCTGTCACTTAGCCCTGTCTCAAATGATGGCTGAAATCCAGAAGGAACGAGAAATATGTCTGAAATGCATTGTCAAAGAAATTAAAAGCGTGACTGATCGACCTTATAATTTTATAATTATACGTGCCTACAAAAATAGTCACTACACATGACAGTAGCTGCTTTGAAGCGCGTTGGCACATTTCAGTGTTGTAGGTGCTATAAAGTGCAAGTTTTTCTTTCTTGCTGCCAGTTACTGAATATCATTTTAACCCATCTTTCTTTCCTCCACCAGAGACTGCAACACTCCTCTGACCTGGTCAGCTTCATCCTGGAGTTTAAGACTGTTTTGGTGAGTTATAACAACCTTAGTCTAGGGATGAAGCTCAAAGCTTCTGGTCCTAATTTGGCATTCTCTTTTAAAGCCTACATTTTGAGGGAACACGTCCTTTTAGAAATGGAAACTTAGCTCCTGCGCTGAAATGATCTGTTCATTAATTTCACACTGTACTTTGTCTTGGTGCTATGACTCATTTCTCTGACCGCAGCATTCCTGCGCTCATTTGACTCGCTGTTGCATCTTTTAAATAAGTGAGTTAAAACGGTCTCGTCATTCCGTGAGAAACCCTTTACTGAGTTATCAATTGCTTAAAGAAGAAATTAATTTCGGAGTTCTGTGTCCATGGTGGATTTTTTAAAAATCCTGTCAGCGTTCTTAATAACATCAAATAATAGCCCATTCAACATTCCTAGGTCTCGGTGTATTAGGCCCAGTAAGAGTATCAATGAATCTCTTTCTCTCAGCTGTAATTACTCCCCTTCTACATGTCACCTCAAGTGCAGGACTCCGTGTGTCTAACGGCCCCTTTTGAATGTTGCTGATCACTTCCATGTTGGCCTACAAATACGCAGTCACTGCACTTGACAGCGATTATCACTGAAGGAGTGACGCGTTTTTAGATGTTCTGACGTTTATATAGGCGCAATTCCAAATACGACAATTATTAGTATAGATAATAAAAAATTAACCAATATTGTGCAGTTGGTGACCCAGATAGTAATACTGAGGATTCGCGCTCGTAAAATACATACGAGATGTTTCGTTTGTACAACACCTGGTTTGCAATCCCTGCACTGCCTTAAGTGTGAAAGATAAAATTGGAATATAATGAATAAGCAAGTGGTGCACAATAGGAACCAGTTTCCTGTATCAAGATCGCAGGACCCTAAAGCCCAACGGTTCAAGCTGTTCTTTTCCTTTGTGGGATTACAAATCAAACTAGTCGTTGGGGAGGTGCAGGAATTTCATTCAAATCTTGTTAGGTTTGTTGTAAATTAATTTGGGGCTGGTTGGAGTGTGCGTCAACATTTATTTTTTTACTGTGGCTAAGATTCTTAATCCTGTGCTTCCAGGAAGCCCGAAATTCCACCTAGCCTTAGCCCGCAAGACAATTTTGTCTTAATATTTAAGATAGCTGAGAACTACAAAATTCTTCAATTCTGACTTAATTTGGCCAGTTCCTTTGAAGGAAAACCGGCCTCTAAATTGAGCCTGAGTTTAAGAAGCTTGGTGGAGGATTGTTGGCCATGACGTCAGGAGAAAGTACCTTCTCTTAAAATTGAAGATTTGGGAAAATTCTTAAATCCTGCCATAATTTGGAAACCATTTTTTNACTAGGAAATTGCACTGAGGAATAAGTTTGATCTGCATGCACCACCTCCTCCACAGTACTACACGCAACTTATCAAAGAAATTGAAACCTTGGGATGGGATAAGTATGAACCATTTCCTTATGTGTATTATTGTGAGTTTTTTTTTGCATGTATAGACTCTAAGTGTTGAGTCCATGTCAGCCTAACTCGGTTGGTAGCGCTCTCGCCTCTGAGTCAGAAGGTAGTGGGTTCAAGCCTCAACATTGGGAATTTAAGTTCACATTACAGTAGTCTACGCTAACACTCCATGCAATGCTGGAAGAGCACTGCATTGTCAGAGGTATCATATTTCAGATGAATGCAGTTCCACATTCACTGGTCTCGACCTATTGAGTTTGCCATTTTTTTTCACATGCAAGCTTTGCTGCTGATTGTCTGATACTTTAAGCACTCCAAGAAGCCAGCCTGTGTGAGGGTGCTGTATAAATGCAAGTTGTTGTCGTTGGGTATCAAAAGACTGATTGACTGCAGCAGCATCAGTGTCCAGCCTGATCCTGATGCTAAGATGGGAACTTTCTAGCAACAGTTGTTGGACAGCAGTCGGGAGTGGGAACCTTTTACCCTGCTCCTTCCCGACTCAATCCAATTGTAAAAACCCCAGTTGAGATTAGCTGACCTGCATACACCAGTTATTGAATCTGGGACTTGTATGACTTCCTGCTCACTAAATAAATGTGTTGAGCCATTTTAAAAAAAAAAAATACTTGAACAGGAAGACTCCTAATAATCATCCCTTGATATTGTGCTGCATTACGCTGTTGAAGTTTCAAAGCGTTTCACAGGATTTTGAAGTGTAGTAACTGTATTTGTAGGAGAAACGCGGCAGCCAATTGTGCACAGCAGTGTCCCACAAACAGTTGTGGACTGAGTGACCAATTTATTATCATTTTTTTAGAAGAAATTATTACCCCCGGAAAAACAATCCGCCAATTGATTAACAACTGGGTTTCTACTTACTGCTAGGTAAACAGTGGTGCTAAGAGCAAGAAATGTTGCCCAACATTTCTCCCTGCTGGGAATCGAACCAGGTCTCTCGCTTGCGAGGCGAGTGCTCTAACTACTGAGCTACTGGATTCCACGCTATGCAACACCATTGACATTTTTGCAGGCCTTTCACATTAGGAGGACGCCTCCAAGGGCTTCCACTGCTGGATGGGCACCCGTACTTATGGATGAGGATGGGTGGAAAGACTTGACTTGCATGTTCCCTGGACACAGTGCACTTTACACATTGAGATTCGTTTTCAGGCAACATCACCATATACATGACCACTTTTCAATCTTTGTTCAACCCCAAACTGACTTGAAATCTATCTGAAGTCATTTTATTTCTCTCTTTTCTTTTGAAGGCAGGGACCATCTTGCAATGCAGTGAGCTAAAATTGCTGAAGGCAGAGACTTGTCTGATTTGCAGTGTTGCACAGTGTTTAAAGGCACGGAGAGACTTGCATGATTTGCAATGGGGTATAATTGTTGAAGGCAGGGATCATCCTGACTTGCAATGTCAGGCAACATCGATTTCAAGATCCTCATCCTCACCTACAAGGCCATTCATGACCTTGCTCCCTCCTACCTCTCTGACCTACTATCCCCCTACCTACCTGCCCGTACCCTCCGTTCCTCTGGCTCCGGTCTGCTCCACATCACCCGCCCCAACCGCCCTACCATCGGTGGCCGGGCCTTCAGCCTCTCAGCCCCTAGGCTCTGGAACTCTATCCCCCAGTGCCTTCGCCGCCTCCTCCCTTTCCTCCTTCAAGGCCGGTCTCAAGACCTTTCTCTTTGACCGAGCCTTCAGCTCACCCTCTCGACTCTCTACCCTCTCCTCGCTCCCTCCCTTCCCTCCCCTCACCCTGACCATTTCCCCCCTGCTCGGGTCCTGACCCAACTGTACAGCGCCTTGGGACGTCCTCCTGACGTGAAAGGCGCTCTATAAATGGAATCTTGTTGTTGTTGTTGTTGCAATGTGATACAATTGTACAGATGCCATCAGCACACCTTTAGATGTGTACTTGGTCACGGCAAATGAGCAGAACTGTTTCATACCATAGGGCCATTATAGCCTAGCCTTATAGCTCCTCATTCTATCCAGTCATTTTTTAGTGAGGATCACTGGTTAGTATTCAGACATTGAAACCTTTGACGTGTTTTGTAATTGTCTAGCAGAGGCAAGTTGTAGAGATTTCACTGTCATACTGGCTGAGATCAGCCAACTACTCGCACATCAAAAGTCAAACCTGGGCTTTGCTGGGTTTGCGCAGGACAGTGTTAAACAAACTATGATGCGCAGATAGGCTGAATGTCTCAAAGAGCAAAGCATACGGCACAGCAAATGCTTTAAAGCCGAGTTAATTTATTAAATGTGCTGCTACAGAACTTGCAGTCAATGACACACAGTGCTGTCAGGAGCTGAGTGGTGCTGCTTCAATAGGTTTATAATTTGCTCGTGACGTCTAAAGAGAGCAAATGAACCAGATTAATGAGTTTGTTGTTTGGAGACTTATCGGCAATATTGAAAGTACCATAAAGGAGGAAATTGAGCAATGCCGCACATGCACAAATGATACTTTGTGGTGAGTTCAATTGAAAGCGCAGATTCATTAAAGGAGGAAGTGCTTAATAGGGAAAGGGGCAGTATAAAAACTAACAAATTTTGTAGGGTGTTTCTTTTGGAAAAAAAAACTCCTGGCTTGCATAATACAGTATTAAAAACTGCAAAAATTGATCAAAGGGGTGACAGGAAGTTTTATGTGTACATAAGTAAAGGCTGACAGAAACCTGCTGTGTGTGCCAAAGGTTCCCATGATGGAAAACTGAAACACGGTGCTCACTGACCACAGCGCGAGCCTTGACACACGTCGTAAATAACTTAGTGATGTACGACCACATTAAGCAGCAGACTGGTGTATTAACAGCAGTAAATCTGCGATAGGAGAAATGCTTGGTACTCGAGACCTTGTCTTTTTGATATTAGTTTCAGATTAATAGGACTAAAGCAAACACATCAAATCACTAGTAGACTTTGATTTCATAAACCTTTCATATATTTTCTTCCCAGACTTGCTTATATGGATCCAGAGTTCAGGACCATTAAGTTGAAGACTGAAGATTCAGTGGGTCGAGAACACATGATCGCAATTAAATTAAAATCAAAGGTGAGGAACTGCTAATGGATTCCGAGATGTACTGTCAGGTGTCTTTTAGAAATAGTGTGTGTGTTTGTGTGTGTGTGTCTATATGTATGTATGTTTATATATTTTATATATATATAGCAGATCTTGGAGACAGATTTGATAATTGTGGCAGCTTGAATCTACATAGCAATTGAAAATATTCTGGGTGTTTCTTAAAGTTGAACTGATTTGTTTAAAACCCACAATAACCTAGTCTGTGGCTGTGCTTCCTATTATTTTTTTCAGCTTGGTGTTGCATTCAGTATAATGCTTTCAATGCTCATTATTGGTCACTCTTCTTGAATCAGTGGCAATGTTAGAGGGGCAAAATGACTAGGTTAAACCATTGAAATCCCTCCAGCCATTGGAGAATGGGCTTTTGTTAACCAAAACTTCCTACTGGAAAAACTCAGAGAGAAAACAGGAACTAACCAAATGCTTGGTTACATGTGGGGGGTGGGAAGGAGGAGAAGGAAGAGAGGAGAGAGATAGGTTAAAACTAAGTGATCTTTAAGTATTTTTTCTAGATCATCAATCTAGTCTGGAAACCAAAACTGTTCAACTAACCCTGCCTCTATGGGAGAGGGCTGTAAGATCATCCTAAAGTGGAAATAAGCCCTAACAATGTTCTAGATCTGTAGTGACGACTTACTTATAATAAGTGGAGCAATGTGATGAGCCCTCATTTCAATCTCCCCCACAGAACTTGCTATCATTGAGTTTATATACTCCAATATTTTGTATTTACTTCAATTTTAGGCAGCCCCTTGCTGCCTGCCTAAAATTGAAAGTACTCAAAGTATTGACATAGGACTTTAATCCACAACCTTTCTCAATGGCATGTCAACGGACGCCAACATGGTCTGAATATAAATAGGAACCTTGTTATATAGAGGCAATTGCTATATAGAGGCTTTGTCATCCTGACACCCCAATATTCATTTTACTAACATCACATCATCTGGGTCCCAGACACACCTTTTTGTCTCTCTCTGGTCTGCCTATTTTGTTGCAATTTTCCCCCTTTGTGTTGCATTATTAACACCTCTTTAACCCTGTCCTCTTCCCCATTTTCTCCTTTGTCTTCCTTGCCCTGCCTCCCACCTCTCTGTTAGTCCTTAAAAGCCTCTCCCTCCCAACATGCCCCAGTTCCGATGAAGGGTCTTGGACCTAAAACGTTGACTCCCTTTCCTTTCTCCGTAGATGCTGCCTGACCTGCTGAGTGTTCCCAGCGACTTCTGTTTTTGTTATAAAGTGGTGTGACTGTGTAATGTGATATTTTTGTGGTGACCGAAAGTATAGAGGCGGAGGAACTCCAGGCTGGAATTCCTGACACAAAGATAACTTTTCCCATTGATATATATATGCTCGTATCTTTGTATAGATTAGTGAAGAAGAGGCAACTGATGGACTAAAGGGCAGCCTGGGAGTTCACTGGTTTCACATTTAGGTGACCAATGCGATGGGAAATGCCATTTTCTTTCAGGAGTCCTTCAGTGCAAAAGTGCACATAGGTGCCTGTCAATGAACAGGTTTAAAAACCCATTCATTCATGTCTGCACCTGCTGATTAATGTTTACCGGCTTCTTACAGTACCTTTTTTAAAAAAGAAATCCACAAGCTACAAGTTCTTATTCTGCTGCCAGTTTTTCCCAAATTCAGAGCCTGGATCATTTACATTTTAGGGCAGTGGTGAAAACATTAGCGAGCTGCTCCTTACTTCCTGTCTCCTTTATCTCCAGTATCCAGCTGAACCACCTGATTGCTTGACAGATTTTCCTGTTCCGTTTGTCATTTCATGGACACAACAGGTACTGCTCTGCTTTCTGTAATAGCTTTACTGTGTTTTACTTTTAAGAAAATGTTATTTATCTGTTTTCCAGTACCATGCTTTTCCTGTCGAGGACATTTTCTGCCTTTGTAGATTACACCAAAAAACTGTCCTTTCCTCAAACTAAACTTACTGTTAAAATGAGCATCTTTACAAGGAAAAGCTTAGGATGCCTGCAGCCTAAATTGGAAAGTGTTTGGCATTGAATGTGAATTGTGTATTTTGTAATTCCTTATCTCAAACTGATGTTATAATAATAATGAATAATAAACGTTGCATTTGATATGGCAGCTTTCATGTCGGGAGGATGTGTCAAAGCACTTCACAGGATTTTACTGTAAAGTATAGTGATTGTGTATTTTGTAGGCAAATGCAGCAACCACCTTGTGCACAGCAGTGTCCCACAAACAGCCCACAGCAATGTCCCACAACCATTGAATGAATCACCAATTTCACTGGGTGCATTGTTGGCCAGGACTCATCCAAAGAACAGCACCTCCAACAATGCAGCACTTCCACCAGCACTGGAGTATCAGCTTGGACTGTGAGCTCAAAATACTGACATAGGACTTTCTCAATGGCATGTCAAGGGACACCAACATGGTCTGAATATAGATAGGAACCTTGTTATACAGAGGCAATTGCTATACAGAGGCTTTGTCATCCTGACATCAAATATTCATTTTACTAATATCACGGTTAAAAAGTACTGTTAAAATGAATACTAAAAATGCAGCTGAACCAAAGAATGGATCGACCACGTTCTGAACAAGTTAAAACTCGAATTCGCTGCCTACAGGCAGACGGGACAAAGGGCTTCTTATGAAAATAAGTGGAGACCTGTGTGCGAAGCAATCAGAAGAGGTGACCTGAATTAATTGAAATGACAGAATGTAGGGGAAGTATTTCCCTGCACACAGATCAAAGGCAGGATGTTTAAAACTGAGGGCAGGCAGCGTGTAACCAAGGGCACCTTAAAGAGGAATGACGCGATGTGTGTAAACATCACAGAAAGTGCAATCAATGTACGCACTCCAAAAAAAAAAAACACTCTTTACCAGGCATGTGGAAAATAGTGCAAATTATGAATAAAGGCATTTCACCGTGTGGGATATTTTGCAAATCTCTCATATTAACACAAATTCTGACTAGCATCTGATGTGCTCTCTTCTTATGGTCTTTGCTTAACTTCAGAGAATGTAAGAACTGTCGGCCAAGCAAGCCTTCTGTTCCTTTGTGGTCAGCCAGTTCCTTGCAGTAGAAATCCGGTATTAAAACTCAAAATGGTTTAAGTTTGTGCCAACCTCGTCGTTGCCTTGTGTTGTGCACCCTCCACCCCTCCTCCCACTTTCAAGACTTAAATCCACCTCACCGTGTAACATGTAGTGGATCATGGTGTTGAAATATAATTTTAATTAAGGTGTACAGAAAGATTTTTTTTCACTGGAGGAGTTATAGCTTGACATTTTTACATGGCATCCATATTGAAATGCATAATTTTCCTTATGGTCCCTGTCGTCCTGCTGGGATGATAATGTTTTGATGTATTTTTCTGCTGCCATGATGAGAGGTCTGCTGCTGCTGCTCTGACACATTCATTCAGATGAATAATTATAACTTGTGCAATGTCAAGCAGATGATGGCAGGTCTCTGCACATCAAGCCAAAGCCTGATCGCCAGTGCAGGTGTTTCACAGCGTGATCCGATAAAGCCAGGGCTTTGCCGCTCAGATGGCACGTTGTGAATCGTGAGGAATGAGAATCAAGGGCAAAGTGGCCTTTGCCCATATGTAAATACCATCTCAGTAGACTGCTTCATTAAGTGGCAACGCTGTTAACCTTTTGCTCTCGGCACAAGCGTGTGGGGAAGGGAATCTTCTGTTGAAGTTCATGGGCAACGTCTCCTGGTGGCAAAGGGTTAATCTCTTACAGGTTAATCGCTCAGTGTAACATGGTTGTCCTTTGCATATGCCTCTTTTTTTATAATAACAAAAAAAAAGTTTGGGCAGCTTTTTCGAAACCAGAACACTGCAATTTTCCTAGTGCACGATGAATGTGAATCTAAAATAGGGCTATAAATGACGGCATTCGGGGTTGTGTTCAAAGTACGTTTCTATGCCAAAGGCATTCAAAGGCGTGTGGCCCAGAGTCCCCCTCTGCTGCATATTCGCCAGTTTCCTGTGAAACAGACTTATTAGTGTTCAGCAAATATGAAAGTGTGTTGCTTCATTAAAGAAAGGAATCTGGCCTTGCACGGCAAAGAGGCCAGAAGTGGACAGCTTTTAATTTGTTGCAACTGCTTTCGCCTGCACAGGTTTTTTTCGGTGCAAGCACAGTGTTGGGGCTTTGAACTCGTATGGTCTGGGCTGACACTCCAAAGCAGTGCCTGGGAGTGCTGTATTGTCAGATATACCGTCTTTCACTAAATGTGTTCCGGTGGACCTTAAAGTGTCATTATTCGAAGAAAGAAGGGAGTTTCTCCCAGACAACAAACCACCAGATAAGAACAACTAAACTATATAGGAAAACTGGCTGTTTGTGGCACATTGCTGTGTGCAAATTGGCTGCCGCATCAGCCTGCAATATGGACAATCACTGCACTTTACAGTGAAATCCATGTGAAGTGCTTTGAGGCATTGTATCAAATGTAAGGATTATTGTTGTATGTGTCATGAGCTCTTCAGAGGTCATGTGCTTTTATGGAGCAAGGGATGTTTTGGGATGTTTAAAATTGATTACAATGAAGTTTTATAAGTGAGAATAATAATGAGATGCATTCAAGAATGGAATGTGGGTCACATATGTATTGTACCATGCTCCTGTCTGTCGGGAAGGGGAAGAAACTCGTTTCCATAAGATGTGCAAATAGACTGTCGACCTTCAAATATTAATCTGCTTTAGATCAAGGTGTTTAAGTGGTTGCAACTCTTTGTAAAATTGATAAGATCGAATAATGACATTGAAAATGTTAGTGTCTGAGAGATGATTTAAGTGTGTAATATATACACATACATACAGTATGTATATATAAGAGAGAGCGTTTACTTAAAATACTTTTGTACTGTTATAGAACCAAAATTGACAGCAGATCATGCAGAACACACCAGTGCTCCTTGGTCTAACTGCAGGCTGAAGGGTACCAGTATTTGCTTTGGATTTCTGCAGATGGAGGCACTTTACTGTAATGCAACCATAAATAAACTTTCTGCAGAAAGATTGCTGAGGCAGACTAAACGTTTCAGAATAGTTTACATTAAAGGAAAAGCCCGCAGCTGGACGGACCAAGTAAAGAATCTGACCCTGCGGTCTATCACCGTGATGAGAGACAGCGGCACTTGGCCAGGCAAAGTCAGGTGCCAATCAAAGGCAGCAATTGTGGAGTTTGGTAGAAGAATGTCTTGACTGTCGGGGCACGGAGGGACACCGACATTTTGGGCTTTGTTTTGAAATTGGCAGTTTGGAAGGAGAATTTACTGCATTTGTGAATTATAAATAGGTGAGAGGAGGGAGGGCTTTAATATTCCTGTCTTCCAAAAATATAGCTATTAAGTTACCACAGGTTAAGCAAGTTGCAGGAGTTGCAATTGATAAGTAAATTGCAGTGTTTTTTCTTTGCCAAGTCATTCACCGAAATGTAACAGTACAAAACTAATCCTTGCATTTGATACAGCCCTTAATCACATCATCGAGACGTCTCAAAATGCTTCACGTGATATTACTATGAAGGGTAGGGATTGGGTATTTGTTGATGAAAAGTAAAAACAAAGTATTGCAGAAACCTTGAGCCTTGCATGTTGTTTAAAGTAAAAGTTCATTTAACACAGCACTGAGCCATATAGGTTGCAAGTTTGATTCACTGTCTGTGCTGAATTAACTAATCTCAGCCTAGGCAGGAATTGGGGTCTTGAGTTGCCCTCAGTGCCTCAGGGCCACATAGGAGAAGCTGAGCCCTCTGTTAAATGAAATCTTGCTGAGTGCAGAGTGATCGAAGATTTATTTTTTAACAAAAATGTATTTTTGGCAATGGACACTTATGCTGTGAAATGGAACACTTCAACATTTCTTATGTCTGGGGGTAAACAGTGAAATGTATATGTTCACCTACAAAATAATAATCCTTGTATTTGATTTAGTGCCTTGTTACGTCGTTGATGTTTCAAAGCGCTTCACAGAATACATTGTGAAGTGGATTGACTGTATTTTGTGAATAATAATAACATAAGAAGAAAACTCAGTACTCTGACCCAACATGCAACCTCAAGAGAACTTTCTGCTGAACCATTGTGACACTATTATTCCCACCCCAGCCACCCTAGTGGCCTCTGAACAAGACTACCAATTGAGTGCTAAAGTATAGTAATTAGATGCTGGGACTAGTACTGAGAACTCGCTCCATATTGCGATCCTGAACGGCCAGCAGAGGATCTTCAGCCCATCAGTCTGTGCTCAACTCGTGCCAAGGTCCTGGTGGTTTAGGCACCTATGGACTTTTATATCCTTATCGCAGCACGTTATTTTCTGTTGTGAATTGCAATGGTATTTTGGTGCCCAGATGTCTGTCAGGAAGTAGTTGCAGAGGCCTGCCAGCTGTTTGTAAACTGTTAGTAATTAAATATAGGTAAGAGATGCACACTTGGCATTTATAGCTGAAGCACTCTACATTACTTCCTTTTTAGACATAATGTGTATCATGGTGGCATTTTACAGTATTTAAAAAATAATGTTATATATCCTTGTAAGCTGCCAGTAAAAACAAAATCGGTCAATTTGTGAGTTATGACAGTAGAGCAGTGAGCTCTTTGTTTTCACAAGGGTTGATTGGAGCGATTAAATGCGTGACCTTAAGAGGCACTTCTGATCATACAGCAAGGGTGAGATTATTCTAAAATGCTCAGATCTCTGCTCATCTCCTTTTCTGCCCTGAGGATTGGTGACCGCTGTACTCCAGGATATCGTGAGCATTCTGGGCGTCAAAGGTTGTCTTTAACCTTCCTCTTTGGCTGGCTGCAGCCTCCGTTGTGCCTTGGATGTGCCCCCTCATAGCGTCAACTAGCCAGGAACTAACTGGGAAGGTTCATTTGCTGTCATCTCCGTGTGCCTACACCACCCCTCACCTTGTCCACCCCCACTCGCCCCATGCACGTAACTTCAGTGGATGATCCAGCACCAACATACACTCGATGGACTGATTCTTTTGCTGCGATTGTAAATGGTTCCATTACTCAAAAGTACCCCTAAATATGATCAACAAGCCATATCAAAATGCTAGCAACGGGCAAGAATGTGACTTGATCCAATGTACAAGAGTCCAATGTGGAATTGGCTGTGAATTCAAGTGTCCACACTCAGACTGCTTTTAAGAATGACTATTAAATTCCTGTGATGGTGCCAATTTACATGCTCTGGGTTTGTTCTTCCTTCCCTTTCATTTTGGAGGAGTTTAGAGTTGAAATGCCTGTCCTCACTGTCAAAGCCCTCCATGGCCTTGCTCCTCCCTACCTCTGTCACCTGCTAACTCCATACTTACCTATACACTCCCTCATTCAGTGTGCTCCATGTTCCCCACCCAGCCTGCTCCACAATCAGAGCTCGGGCCTTCAGCCTTTCTGCCCCGACCCTTTGAAGTTCCATCCCACAGTCCCTTTACCTCGCTCCCTCACTTACCTCCTTCAGGGTCCCTCTCAAGATCTTCCTGTTCAACCGCACCTTCGGTCACCCTCCTACCCCCATCCTCCCTGCTCTCCATCCCACCCGATTCCAGCTCGGGTGCAGATCCTTGACCCTCCATTGCCTTGAGACGTCCTCCCGACTTGAAAGGCGATATACATATCTAATGTGTTATTATTTCCCCCTTTTCAGAGCTCACTGATGAACCTTCACAGTCAGTTTCTGGCAGCCTTGGAGTCATTGAAGGAATTCTGGGATATCATGGATGAGCTAGATGAGAAGACCTGGGTGCTGGATCCTGAAAAGCCCACACGTAGCGCCATGATGCGGAGAATTGCCATAGGTACCAGTTTTCTTATATCGTCTAATTGTCCTTGAATAGCTTTATTAACAATTGTATGGATCCTACAGATCCATCCTTCGGATGTGATGCTAACCCTTAGCTCTCATCTGTCTGTTCGGAGATCATTCAAGATCACATGGCACTATTTGAAAAGAGAAAAGAGTTCCTCTCAGTGTCCTGGCCAAAAAGAAACCGGTCATTCACTTCACAGCTGTCTGTGGGACATTGCTGTCCACATGTCAGCATCTGCGTTCACCTACAAAATACACAATCACTACATTTTACAGTAAATGTTGTGAAGCTCTTTGAGAAGTCCTCCCGACCTGAAAGGGGCTGTATCAAATGAAGGATTTTTCATAAATACCTGCAGCTTCACGAGCCCATCTATTGCTTATTCATGTTCTGTATTAGAATTAAGCAGATACAATTTGCCTTTGGTTAGAGCTCAGACCTATCAGTTATTTGCCTGTCACGTACTGCTGCTAAAATGGCTTGAACATCGAACACAGAGGAATCAAACATTAATTATTGCTTGTCCACAACCCCATCCTTCTACGCAGTGTAAAGATACCCTGTATTGATAAGAGTCTTGCTTCCTCAACACTGGGGATGCCAGGGTCAGCCTAACCTCCTGGAACTGCATAATACTGTACTTCTAAATTAGCCTCTGTCTCCCTCCCACACTGGTGTGCGCTTCTCTTTCACATTGTTTCTCCCTCATTAATTGGTCATTCACCTCGTGGCTATTCATTGTCAGGACCTAGCTGGTGCAACAACAAAGAATTACTTTTGTTTAGTGCCTTTCAACGCAGGAGGACATCCCGACACGCTGGACAGTCACGGCACGGCACCCGAACTGTTGTTTGGGACCAGGGGGAGTGGAGGGCGGGGAGGGGAGGGATAGGATGGTGACCGAAGGCACGGTCAAAGCGGAGGGTCTTGAGACGGGTGGCTATATTAGGTAGCTACCGTGCTTGCTTACAAAAAAGTACAGACACTACGCTCGACCAAAATTACCCGTGAAATATTCTGGGACATTCCGATGTGATGAAGATCTACAAAAACGCAAGATCTTTCCTTCTTGGATTTTGTGGGTTTTTTTAAAAAAAAATCCCATCCTCTTCACAACTTTCTCACAAACACTCGAGGGAGCAACCAGTTTTGAAGCTGTTTCCTGAAGCATTCCTTTTTATTTCTGCATACATTATACCTCCAATATCCAATTCAACAGACCTGTAAGAAGTAATTTACCTACACAACAGCTCCCTTGGCAAAAGAGTTGCATTCTGTCTCTGATCATGGGCACGAGTGCTCAGGGAGTCACGGAATGAGTGACGGGGACTTTTATTTTTGTGTGTTATTTGGTTTTTCAGCAGAGTTCAGATTTTTGATCAACCTAAAAACTTTTGTTCACAGGCAAAAAAATAAAAGGAAAGAAAAGTTTCACTGGTAGTTTTAGAAATGGCGATCCCTTCTGATCTGGCATTTCGAGTTCCCTCGTGCACAACAGCCAGAGGTTGATAGTCATCTAACCTCGCCTGGTAGCATAAAGTTATGTGTGATTCCTCCAGAGTTAAAAATAAACCTTTCAATTATCATGGAGCCTTGTCACTTCATCAAAATCCTTCCACATACTTCATATGATACTACTGGAAAGTGTAGTGACTGTACTTGGAATAATAATCCTTGCATTTGATATAGCGCCTTATCCCATCAAGACATCTCAAAGCACGTCAAAGAATGTATTATAAAGTGAATTGACTATATTTTGTGAGCGAAACGTGTGCAGCTGTGCCCCACAAACAGTTATGGATTGATTGAGTGACCAATTTTTTTTTTGAACTTTATTTGTTTGTTACTTGTTAGCGATCAGGTGATTACGCGGCTACTATTTTGCAGAGGAAAGATTTCCTTGCTTGACCCCTGTTTGCTTTCGTAGATAGATGTAGGACAAATGCTTTGTTGAAATGCATTGAATAGGCGTCATTTGGAACAAAGGCAACATGTGCATTTGTTTAGCGCTTTTCCTGTATGATAAAGATCCCACACCACGACTCAAAATAAAGAGTTTCTCCCAGTGCCCTAGCCAACAATCCCCCAAATAAATAATTGGTCATTTGGTTCATGGCTGTTCTTGGGACATTGCTGTGTCCAATTGGGCTGCTTTACCGTGTTTATCTACAAATGCACAGTAACTCCATTTCACATTAAATCCTGTGAAGTGACTTCCCGACGGGAAAGGCACTATACCCAATTCAGGGATTATTATAAACTTTTGAAAGACTATCACAGTGTATACAAAGGTGGGTGTTGGGGTGGGGGGAGAGGTTTTCTTCTTGAAAAAGCTGGAACTAAGTTTCAAAGCAAAAATATTTGTTTTGCAAGAGTGTTGTAATGATTTTTGAGTTTGAAGAGATGAAATTTGGACCAGCTTGGGTTACTTGTGCATTTACTTGTACTTGTACGGCCTACAAAACTCAATCACTACACTTTACAGTGAATCCTTCCAGTGAAACGCTTTGAGATATCCTCCTGACGTGAAAGGCGCTCGATCAATGTGAGGATTGTCATGACTTACTTCAGACAACTTTGAAACTTTGCAATTTTTTTTTTAAAAAGTTTTTAAAAACAAGCGAGAAAAATATTCCATTAACAAATAGATAAATGTAGTTGAGTTGATTTTTACTACTATTTGCTGCACAGGCAACAACGTTTCAATAAACTTGGTGGTCGACCCGAGACATCCTAAAATGTTGCCGGAGTGCTGCTTCCTCGGTGCCGATCATGGTAAGTGACTTTCTCCGCTAATCATTAAGAAATTTCAGACTTGTGTTATTTCGGCTTCAAGATATTTAACAAAAAAAACTTTTACACACATATTTGCCTCCAGTGGTGACTCCCCTACGGAATAAGCTGAACACTAATATGCATCTTTGGTAAGTAGCACTCCAACATTAATGGGCTCTTTCTTTCGCTAGTGTTTGCCGACAGAAAATTGGCCTTAGATCTCTCGTGATATAAACAAAGCCAGTTCCTGACTAGTCTGCTCCTGCCTTTAAGGAATCCAGAGTGCAGTGTCCTGCAGAACCTGAGGGAGGTGCTGGAGATCGACTTCCCGTCTCACGCCACTCACGAGAAGTCTGTAAGTTACCACAGCATTTTGTGTGATGAGGGAACTGAGTTCAGTTTGCCTTTCCAAAGAATGGGTTTCCTTTGAGGCTTTTAAAAATGGGATCCTGCTACGTGAAGCCTGCAGACGTTGCCCCGACAAACTGCTAGTGCTCCGAATACTTTGGAGCTCGAGAAACTAATGAGAAAGTGGAGCCTTTGAAGAGTAAGAATATACATGTGGAGGGTACAGGGGTAGAGCAAAGGAATGGGGATTAGAATAGTACAAAAGGAATCCTTTTGTTTTGGTTTAGCACCTTCCACATCATATTGGATACAGATAACTCCAGTTAATAGTTTGAGCTGTTTTGAAGATTATGTTGATGTTCACGGGGGGAAACAAATCTGAATAAATCAAATATTTGGCCGGTTCAGCATTCCAGCTGTATTCTGCGTGAAGGGCGATACATAAATTTACGTAGTTATTGTTGTTCCGTCTGTGTCGTTCAGGTAATCTCTAAAAGTTCTATGCCTTGCCCCCAAATGGCAGAGTTTCAGTGTGGAGTGTGGCATTTGCTATGCCTACCGGCTAGCTTCCTCCATCCCTGATCAGGTGTGTGACGACCCCCGATGTGGGCAGCCGTTCCATCAAGAATGTCTTTTGGAGGTTTGTGGGATTCAAGGTGATCTTTTGAATTATTTTTGTTTTGTGTGTTTCTCAATGAATAACTTACTCAACTGCTCTTTGGCCACAGTGGTTACGAGGGCTGCCTTCCTGTAGGCAAAGCTTCAACATCATCTTTGGAGAATGTCCATACTGTAGCAAGGTAAGAAGCCACGGCTATAACGGGTAGGTGGTGATCAGGAATAAGAGAAGCAAAATGTTTTTACCGATATGCAACAACTTACCTCTTTGACTGCGCTTTCGGTCATCTTTTGTTCCCCCCACCACCACCCTGGCTCAGGTGCTCAAACTTCTCTTTGATCGTGCCTTCAGCTCCCCTCTCGACTCTCTACCCCCTCCTCGCTCCCTCCCTTCCCTCCCCTCACCCTGACCATTTCCCCCCTGCTCGGGTCCTGACCCAACTGTACAGCGCCTTGGGACGTCCTCCCGATGTAAAAGGTGCTCAATAAATGGAATCTTGTTGTTGTTGTTGTTGCGTTAAGCGTTTTGAGGTGACCCCCATGCTGTATAAAATGCTGCATGTTTTTTTTTGTTATGGTAAATTTGTACCTTACAGGGGGGGAAAAAAAACACAACAGCTATTTATCTACCTGTGTATTGAGCGTCTGGTTTCACAGAAACGTTTTGACACAATCTTGGAAAGAAAGGCTTTGAAGTATTACTAGTTTGTTCACTGGAAGCACTTGGTTCCCGAGGCCAGTAAGGTGTGCTGTATACTCCAAGTGGTAGACGGAAATACAGAGAGTGTGCTTCAGGTTTATTAGTTTCTTTGTTTGAAGCAGTAAAATAACAATTGTTCAAAGAGTACAGGAACTTAGTTTATTCTGAACTCTATGCATCATCCTTCCCCCACCATCACCCTCTTTAAATTTATAAAGCAGTGTGTTAGAAGGGTCGCGCTGCTATTCTAATCTATGTATTTTCTCCTCTCTCCTCAGCCCATTACGGTTAAGATGACACTGAAGAAATCCTGATTGCTAAAGATTCTGAAGAGGGAAGATTCTTGCTTTGCGAATAAAAATGTCCACTTGTTTTAACGTTCTACTCATAAAATCCCATTCAACTGTAATGCGACATCTGCATTCACTCCTTCACCCTGCAACAGGTTAATTTGGCAGCAAGTCTGAAGTTTTCAAATTTGGCTGAAGATGCAATTGAGGAGGAACAGCTTTCGTGAACAAAAGAAGTACAGGACCAAAGTGTTTAAAATTTAACAGTACTTACAAAAACAGCAGCACGAGACCTATTAGTATCATTAGGAGAAGAACAGTAGCACCATATCGGTAGATGCTAGATTTGATTTTGCTTTTATCGTGTGCTACGTTTGCAGAATTGCTATGCCTATCAACTAGCTTCGTCCATCCCTGGCCAAGTCTATAATGATGGGCAGCTGTTCCGTCAAGCATGTCCCAACGACTCTTTTGACCGCTGCCTCTTATGTCTTCGGCAGCCCTTCTCGGTTCATTCTGAACAGTTTCTCTCGACCTGTCCTCAACAGTCATTGTGGCCTTTGGTTTCCTTTCAGTGATTCGCGTCGGGGGTAAACATTCAACCTTATTTGTAGTGCTCGCTCTCTTGATTTGTAATGGTTTTTGCTTGGACGGTGTTTCTCTTGCTGCGTTCAAACCTACTTCTTTCTGGCTTTTTTCTTTGGGGCTTGTTCTGACGACCTGCGGCAGAAGGATATTATACGGGTTATAGTAACTGTTCACAATGTCTTCCTGTCGCACTATAGTTCATGTGCTCGGTGAAAACCGTGGCAGCACAAGAAGATGGTGAATCCGTACATTCTGCTGACCGCTATTACGGTCACTTGTTTCTTTAAAAGATTGAACACGATGTTTTCAGCAAACCAATGTCCACAAACTATATTCTGTACCAGCTGCTGTTTGAATGAGAACATCTGCCAATATTAAATTTACATTTTTCTGTATCTGATTTTTTTTGTTATGGTATCACAACGCAATAAGATCCGCCTCTGATCTTTGGCGCCAGCCACCAGGCCAAGCTGCCATATTATTGACCAGCTGAGTGATGTCTGGCATTAAAGTGTGAGATTGGTAAAAAATTGCTCTGGCTGCTTGCCAGCCAGTTGGGCCCTGAAAGATGGGAATTGAATGAGCCAAGTTATCTGACGGTTGATCCAGCATCAAATTTATAATTTTTATACTTGATCTGCTTCAGGGCTTTAGATGCAAAGTTCTCTACAGCAAAGGTTGTGGGCAGTCTGGACTAAACTATTACCAGTTAAGTAAAGTCCTGTTTTTCTCTCATGCATTTGGCGCTGTGCTTGGATTAAGGTTAAAATGTAAACTCCACTAAAAAAAGTCTGTTTTTGAAATAGGGGGAAAAAACATTGGAAATGACAAAGAAACCAGTTTGCAATGTAAGAGTTACATTTTTCATTTAAGGGAAGAGAAGTGATCTTTTGGCCTCTATCAGCATAATGAAGTCTGACGTACTTTGTTCAATTGAGTTAATTTTTCTGCCAGGTCTTTATATTGGGATTTCTAGTTACAAAGATTCAGCAGAAAATGGACTATTTCCTACGATCAACATATGTTGGATCGCAGTAACAAATGCGTTTGAATTGCACTTTGGGATTACCACATCAACTAAATAGGATCCTAAATGTGTAATGAACATCCAGTGAAAGGATAATGAGCGAGTGTAATCCTTTTCTCTAGTTACTTACATAATTAAGGACACCTATAATTCCCTCTGTCGTCGAGGTATGTTTGTGCACAGTAAACGCAATGCATAAAGTTTGCACGTTGGTCATTAACCTAACCTGAAAATTAAGACTCGTTCCTGGAATTCCAAAATTCCCCTATTTAATACCTAGCTTGAATGCATCATCAATTCATGTTGAGTGTACATTTTAAATTGTTATCTTTAACTTTAAATTGTACCTACAATAAACCTTTGATTTGAAATATTCCCTCCCACAAAAGGAAATGTTAGTCAGGACTTTAAAACTTCCCGCTCAGTAAATGCAGCAGACTGCCTGCCAACTCCCTTACGTTTGTGAAGAAAGCAAATGAGTAGTTTTAGAAAGGAACCTTGATGAAGCAAATTGTGAAGAAGGATCTAATTTCTATACCACCTGATGTTGATTTAAGGTCGCCAGGTGATTTTCTTTATCTTGTTTCTGAGAAATGGATCTGAATTCTTGTCAATAATGCAATGATGAAAAGCACATAAGAATAAAGTCCCTGTCAACCAACTTTTTGTGTGAAATATTTTAACAACGTATAAAGAAAGAACCTATTTCTGGAGGCTGAGGGGTTGGGACTCTTGTTTAATCTTTAACTCAGTTGAACTAACAACTAATCTATGTATTTTTTCTGTGTTGCGCTAATATTGCTATCAACAACACGATGCAAACATCAGCGCTTTTGTGCATGGGGTCTCCTGGAGTCCAAAGAGCTGAGGCCACTCCAATAGGAATGTAGAACCGGCATGAGCGAGCATAAAGTCAAGTTAAAGCAAGATTCCTCAATCAAAAAACTGCCATTCTTAATGCCATTGCTCCTCTCCACCTCTGTAACCTCCTAACCCTCTACCAACCTGTTCGCTCCCTCCACTTAGCGGGCTCTGGCCTGCTTCACGTCCATCGTCTTGCCTGCCCCATCATCAGTGGGTGGTCCTTCAGCCTCTCTGCCCCTACTCTCTGGAACTCCATCCCACAGTCCCTCTGCCTCACCCCCTCCTTTTCCTCCTTCAAGACCCTCCTCTTCGACTGTGCCTTCAGTCACCCTCCTACCCCTAACCTCCCTGACCCTCCACCCCTCCTGATCCCAACCACCAGCTCGGGTGCAGATCCCTGACTTTCCAGTGCCTTGGGACATCTTGACGTGAAAAGTGCTATACAAATTTAATTTGTTGTTGCTCAGAAATGTCACCAAATATTGTTCAGGATGTCAAGCTTCGATGGTTGGATCAACATAGGTACATGATATACAGTACTTCCAACATGCCCTTAACATACAATTGTGTGGATACCCCATGGATAAGTGTAAACACACAAGGGTAACATTACAAGACAGATGGCATTAAAAGCATCAATGTTCCCAGGTAGATTAAAAAAGTGAACAAAATGTATAGCTTAAGGGTGTCATGAATAAATCAGGAAAGGTGACTTGAAAATTGTATGCGGTCTTGGAGCCACATCTAATGTGTGCAGTTTTGGTTCCACCTTCAGAACAATGGCTTACTTATTGGAGGAAGTGCAGAAGCAGAAGGATAGTCATACATACATACATACATACATACGCCATATATGAACAAAAGGGATCATAAGTTTAAAACTGAACAAAAGAAATGCAGAAGTGTTTTAGCAGTAGGGTGATAAACATTGTGAAACAAACTGCCTGTGCAGGTGTTGTTGCAGCAACAACAACAACAAATTACATTTATATAGTGCCTTTCCCATCAGAAGGACATCCCAGTTAAGGGTTTGCACCCAAGCTAGAAACAAGAGTTTCTTTGGGGAACTAATTCCTGACAAATAAAATATTTCAAGGTTAATAGATTTCCAGATAGAAATATTGAAGGAATCTTCTGGGAAGGTTAAGCTGGATAGAGTGAAGGTTTCCAGGCTGAAATGTACTATGCTCATATTGTAGCCCTAAAATCCAATTTGATTAGGAATGTGCATATCTCTGCTCAGTTGGGTAGTTATTAAATGCATTACAATGCAAAAGTTTATAAACGCAAAACATACACACAATTAACTCATTATGTTCCAAACCAATCTTTTCAGCACAAGAATAATGACTGAGATAAATTTTGACGCACACTATTGAATAATGAAATGCCTATTCTCATTGTTGATTGCTTCTAAATGTTTCCTGGACTAAGAAGTCATTGCACAGTAGTTTAGTCATTAGCCCATTCCAATGCCAAGTAATTCAGTGGTTGACAATCACTCTCAGATAACACCTAAAGACTCAACGTCGTTTGCAATTCATGTTTGAATCAACAAATTTAATGCAATTTAATGTACAAATTTAATGTACAAAAACAAATTTTCAATAATCTCAGAAGTAGCTATATCACACACAATGTTCAATGTCTTTCTCTGGCTGCATTGCACCAGTCCCCTCGACCGTCTTATTTGCATGCACTGACTCGCCTGTAATTTCTCATTCTGCCATCTACAAACTCAGCTCACAATTGCCTGTTGACATTCAGATACACTTAGCACCTGCACTCTCGCAACAACTTCACTGTCATTGAAGGAAAAAAGAGATTAGCCATCATTTCTGCGAAAAACATAACTCTTCCACATAGATAAGCTGCATTCGAAAATATTACTGTGGATAAAATTCCGGCCTTGATGTCACAAACATCAGGGCAATACAAGGATTTGAAGCACTTATTCAATCTCTGGCGATTGCAAAGGGTTAAAGCTCCGGAATATCAAACTGTTGTATGCACTACAGAAGCGTCTTGGTTTCCAAACCTAAATTACTGATGTCATGCCACTCTCTCTCCCCTTCACGCGCACACAAAGTAGGCCGCCATCTGCAACCTGCTGTGAGAAAGCAAGTTCATCTCTTAAAAGCGCCTGAGCTCTTGCTGATCCCCTGATTAAAGCTCACTTTCATAGCAGCTCAAATTTCACACATGGAAAATAGCTGATAAATAGCAGGCTTCATGAACTCTAGATGGCACCCTTCCAAACGGTAGAAATAACTTAAGAATCTGAAATTAAAGCAGAAATTGGAAATCCACAGAAGGTCAATCAGCACCTGAGAGATAGCTTAAGTGTTTTGGATGTGAACCATCTTTGTAAAATATTTGCAGCACAAAGGGAGGTTCCTCAGCCCCCATATTATGTCTACGCTGGGGCAAACTCCTAACAATGGAACTATTTACTCTAATAGCATTCTCCTGCTCTTTTCCCCATATAATGTATTTCAATATTATTTTTTCTTTCACAAAATGTATACAATTGTCTTTTAAATGCTGCCAAGCACTCTGGGACAACACCCAGCCTGAAGAGCGCTTCATAAATGAAAGTTATTGTTGTCATGGACTTGGCTTCAGTGGCAATCCTTACTTGGTTAGACAATTCAACTGTATTATCATTTCTCAGTATCTGTTAATGACCCGATCATAAAATTCAGTTATCGGAACCCAGGCTGACTGACCCTTAGTCCACAACACTTAAAAGGGGACTGGATAAAATAATCCCAAAAAGTACTAAAAGTCATGGAAAACTAGCAGGGAAAGAGATTTGAGAAGATGGGGCCAAGCTAGCACCAGCACAGACAGCAAAGAAACGATGGACCGAATGTATGATTCCACTTTCAGGTCATAATAATAATCCTTGTATTTGAAATAGCGCCTTATCACATCGTTGAGACATCTCAAAGCGTTTCACAGAATATATTGTAAAGTGAAATGACTGTGTATTTTGTGATGCTAATTGACCTCTGGATTTCCAGCACTTTGGAATGTTATTTCACTCTTCCCATCAGATCATGGCCACAGAGTGCCCCGGTGCACAGGGGTCAGGTGTAAGGAATGTACACCATTGAGGGTTATTGCCGAGCTGGCTGGCCTACAAAGTGGCCTGGAGTTCCTGCTAGCTTGCGTTCAAGGGAAAACATGACAAAGAAGGGGCACAGTTTGGGGGGGGGGGGGTCGGGGGGGGGCCTTGCTCTACATCTCGCGCATTTCGAAGCACTTCCACAGAGCATTCAGCTCGGCAGCACAAAGCTCACCGGACCTGAGCTTCTCCTTTGACTCTCAGATTGGATTTAGCAACGGTCACCCTGCTGCAGTAACATGTCAATGAACACGCTATTTCGTTATCAGATGCCTCTGCAACACATAGCATCCTACACATTGCTATCACACTTTGATGGTGGTTGATTTTCACCTTTTAAAAAAATGTTGGCAGTGTGAACCGAGTAATTCACAGAGCCTGACGAATTAATTTCACAACCCGAGTTGTTGGATCAGTACATTTCTTGCGCAGGGCTGATTTTGTTTGTACAGTGCATTCTATTTAACCCTATATCTTTGTGCCCAAGTATTGAGCCGACAGCAGAGATCACTTCATACTGTTCTCAATGTTAAACTGATGGTTAGTTAAAAAAAAATGATAGGTTGATTACAAAAAAGTTCCCAAAGAAACTTGGTACTGGTGCTCACCTAAATTGTGCTGACCAGCGTACTGAGACATTGTATAAAATAAATTTTAAACAGCAACGATAAAGTAACTTTTATTTCTATCTGCCCATTCAGGTGGATGCTGAAGATCACACGACACTATTCAAAAGAGGGAAGGGAGTTTCTCCAAGTGTCCTGGCTGACAATTCCCCCAAATAAAATTACTTATGCACCTCATGGGTGTTTTGGTAAAATTGGATGTTGAGCTCACCTACAAAATGCACCGTCACTCCACTTTACAGTAAATCCTGTAGAGGACTTTGAGACATCCTCCCAATGAGACGGGTGCTTTACCAAATGCAAGATTTTTATTATTATTGTCGATCTGAACACTGGTATCATACACTGCAGATATGTAATATGGGTTCTGAATAACAACCCTTTACTTCAGCAGTTACTCATGTGGCATCTATTCTTAGAAAGCTTCGCTGCTTTACATGTTGTGATAGGTAGGAACCCAGTTTTATTTTGAACCATAGGATTGTTATTATTACTATTATATTAATAATCCTTGCATTCTTGTCAGGAGGACGTATCAAAACGTTTCACAGGATCCACTGTAAAGTGTAGTGACTGCGTATTTTTGTAGGCAAACAAACAGGTTCTGAAACCTGTGCCCTGGGAAGTCTTGCCGACATGAAGGTGATATACAAGTGTTGTTGTTGAAAGGTTTTGATAGCCATATTTTTGAATTTTGTAACATAAGCACAGATAGATCTGTTTTCCACGAAACAGCATTCAGTTTAATTTGTAATCAAGTGCAGCTCTTCAAGAGGTTTATTTTTATGTGATGTATCAATTCAAGTTATTGCAAATTGTTATTGCAATATCAATCGAGTCAGACTGCCTGGCTCAATTTCATCACTGCCTCTGGAACCGAAAGGCTAGTGACTTTGTCCTTGTGTTCAAAAAACATCCAACAACATGTGGATCATAACACTGTGACTGAATTTGAATCTGGGTCTCAGAGGTGAAAGGCAAGTGTTCCCAATAACCTTTCCTTTTCAAATCATCTTATATTTAATGGAATCACAAGGGGTGACTTCAAAGTTGATGAGCTAGATGGACTTTGCAGCAAGAGAGTATATCCGCACAGTGATATAGTTATTGGGTCAGTGATAAAATTACATCCAATTTAATACTAGCAATTTAGTGTTTGCAGCAAGCCCTGTAACCTAGTGACAAAGTGAAGCGAGTAAGAAAATCAATCCATGCAGTTGGGAGATATGCCTTTGTGTAATTCTAATGAACAAATATTTCTTCAAAATACAATTTTCTGCTTTGTAATCTATCCTAGGGAACAGATGTAACAACCATTATAACAGCGATTTCATTCAGGAATACATTATTTCTCAAAAAGCAAATGGTAAAAGATCCTGAAATATTGTGAACTGGCACTATTAATTAGCCATGCATACCTCCTTTTAAATAGGCTATTTCTGTTCTATTTAAATTAAATGATTACCACCTTGGCTCACAAATGTCAATAACGCAGTCTTTCAGATATGTCTTTTCTGCTAAGTGAAGGCTGCAGGGATTGTTAGCCAAGATTTGCCTTCCAATGAGCTAATTTATGGCAGTGCAGATATTTCATAACATGAGTTGAGGCAGCTACAAAAGTCAGCAAATCAGCACCATCTGTGTGGAGATGTTTAATGCAGCATTTCATCCACTAACCTTCTCAAGCACAATAGTTCACACCTTGCAGATGGGGTGTTAGGAAGCCTATGTTGGTCTAAAGTTCACAACCAATATTATGAAAGTGAATGACATTTTGACCCAATGTTATTGCACGTGACTGAACACGAGGGTTGGTAAGGGTGAGGGTGGTGGGAAAGAAAGTTACAGCAGCACAAAAAACAACTTAGGCAGTGCTGAGGTGTCGGGACACACAACTCTAGCAGGGAAATACTTGTCTTGCAGAAATTCACGGAGGAAATGAAAGCTGATGCAAAACACCAACTTGAACAGTTCTGAGTGCAGTCTCGGAAATAAACGTCAAAACTAACTCCAGGAATCTGCTCTTCATGGGATTTAGATTTGATGAAAAGGAGTATTGCAAATAACCACTAAGAATCAATGATGGACTCACTCCACAAGTTAACATCAAAATTATCTGAGGGGATTTCCTCATACACCATCACTGTGCAACTGATCCTTAAATGATGTTCCCAGTGGCTTTCTGAAGCCAATGCCCCCGATTTATGGTGTTGGAAAAAAAAACTGGCATTCTAAGGTTTATGCCATGTTTACACTGCGATGTCGCTTCCAGCAGTACATTAATTCGGATTGGAAAACAGGATTTATGCTTTCCCTCCCATTCGCTCCCATGTTGATAATAATAATAATAATCCTTGCATTTGATACAGTGCCTTATCACATCTTCGAGAGGTTTCAAAGTGCTTCACAGAATATTCTGTAAAGCGAATTGACTGTATATTTTGTGGGCAAAATTAGCATTGTTTTTTATTGTTACCAGAGCCGGTTAGGTGACCAGCAAAGTAGGTTCCTTATTGGGTTTTGAGGTACCGTGTTATCAGAATTGTTTCACACCTGCATTTGTACTGATGTTCCCTTGAGACCACCTTCTCCAGGTGCTGTTGGCCTCTGCTCTCTTGCATTCAATGTTTTGCCATTGGGGTCACACACCCAATTTATATTTTTTTCCTTATGCAATGGGATTTAATAATAATAATAATAACCCTTGCATTTGATATAGAGCTTTTCATGTCTTCTAGACGTCTCAAAGCGCTTCATACAGTCATGGATTCAGTGACCAAATTATTATTCTTTTTTTTCTTGAGGGATTATTAACAAGCGTGTGGAGTAAGGAAACTTACCCAAGGTTTCACCCTGCCGGATTTGTGAAGAAAAGCCACAAAAAATTTAAAATATGACCTGACGGGGTGCAATTCCACCTGGGACTAGATTTACTCGATTTATGTAATATTTTAGAGCAGCCAGGAGTTGGCAAATTGTTGAATTCAATCTTAAGTTTGAACTGTTGATTCTTAAAAGAATGTTTGAGCACAGCAGTGTCCCACAAACAGTCATGAAGTCAATGACTGATTTTATTGAGAGGGAATCAATTGTTGGCCAAGACAAGGGGAGAAACTCCCTTCTTTTTTCAAACAATGTAATGGGATTGCTCGGTGTGTGCATGTTTTAATTCAGCTCTCACACCACGAGGTTCTAACAACTCCACGTTATCTCTCTAATTTATCGTCAGCAGGTAGTAGTTCAACAAAACTAAAATCAACTGGGGGTGGGGATGAGACATAAAAGGTATGTCAAAGTGCAGCATAGGTCTTTGTGAATGCTTGATTTTTTTAAAAAGCAATATTGATTGATAGTCAGACATAACTCTTTAACATTGCCGACATATCCATCAAATGCCAGAAACCTTTTTCCAAACGCTCTAGGAAAGTATTTTACAATGTGTATTTTGTGTTTGCTCGAAATTCACCACAATTTATGGGGAGAAAAAATTCCTGTGTGCACGACCAAAAAGGAAAAGTTGTAATTGGGAAAGAAATGAAATGGAGGGACACGTACTCTGTTGTCCCATTGACATCTTGCAGTGAGTTTGAAGCTGGGACATTATTTGATGCATGGAACAGAGCAAGCAGAATTATTATATTATTTCACCTCATTGTTGTGGTAAGTCTGCACTCTCTGTCAGTTAAGTCCACCATTTCACTCCCCGGTTCCTTTGCAAGCACTTTTCAACACCCGGGTACTCAGAGACTGTTCTCACCTTACACTCTGGCCTCCTTCCAAGGAATCTGATCGCTTCCACAAATGGTCCCAGCTGAGATGGGGAACATTGCATTTGCGGAAAGCAAGGGGGAAGCACCAAATCCTGTTACCCAAGCGCAGTGCGTCCGGAGATTAACGCGCTGTGTAACCAACCATCAGCATGAAATACTATAGTGTGTAAGTAGGGACTAAGTGCATAGAAAACTTCTGTCTATTTAACTTCCCACCACCCCCTCCCATCATACCGGCACCGACCGAGGTAAAGTGTAGATGCTTACGTTTTGTAATGAGCAGAGATCAGGCACTTTCTTATTATACTCTTGCATGGGTAAGTGCAGAGGGTCCAAGGCTTTCGGTCTATTGACTCTCACTCTGTTTAACAAGATGTTGTGTATTTTCTGGTACTCTGGCCTCTCATCGTACTTTAGAGAGTTCACATAGGACAAATAGCTGGTTATTTCACCTACAAGACAGTCCAAAGGTACAAATCAGGCAAAGATTCAGCAACCAGACTAAATCGCTGATCATATTTATGCATGTTATGCCGACTGGGAATACTATTGGCAGACAAAATCACAACAATACATTTTCCATCAAATCATTTGCATCAATTTGTCATTATCAAGAGGGCTGCAGAAACTGAAATGCATAAAATAACCTTTTATATTCAGACTTTAGAATAAGCGGTTGCTAGTAACCTTACCATATTTAGCGATGCAATGCAAAAGGGAATCTCTATGCCTTAGAGGATTAAACAAATAAGAGCAGTCAGCGAGAGACTGCAGCATAACATCTGATTCAATGCAGTTACAGAGATATTAAAATGTACGTGTAATTGATCACAGGGGTTGAAACTAACAGGGGAAAGGGCTTCTAAATCTTTGCACCTGCCTCTAATTTACAGAAATCATGGTTCTATTCTGCCTGTACGTTCCAAATTGCAAGCGAGGGATTTGCAAGTGGCCTGGACCCAATGCTGCCAAGTGTCAAAGCTGAAATTCCACAGCATCGTAAATTTAAAAAAATAAACCATGTGAAAAAAAATGATAATTCATAGAGCAAGGAACGACTTTTAACCCAATCCCACCCACTGCAGCCAAAATGCAGCTGTGAATTCCCACTGCATCCTTCAAGCCTCTGTGCGGAAAATTGCTATCATCTCTACGGTTTGCAATTTAGCCGCAGTGAAGGTGCTGTATCATTTTGGGTGACATATGAAGATAGGAATGTACAGGGAATGGGAAAAGACCATTGCAGTCCATTTTGGCCGGTTGCAGAGTTGGAAGAATACCTTTTTTTTTAAAAACAAAACATTCGATCGCTTCTCCGGCCAAAGAAACCATGCTCCGGAATTTTTTCGGTGCTGTGTCCCTGGAAAGCCTGTTCCATATATTCATCAACCTCTGTGGAAGGCAGTTAAATCTAAACGGTCGGCTTACCCTGTCTGGCTATTTCCTGTACAGGAAGCGTTTGCTGTGGTCAGCACAAGCCTCTCGCAAAGCTTTGAAGCTGAACCTATTTGCACAGAAGCAGATACCGAAACATTCAATGCTTTCTTACTACAGGTCCACAATTATTCTTTCTCTCTCTCTTGCTCTCTCTCTCTCTCTCTCTCTTTAGCTCTCACTTTCTTACTGCAGTTCAAGAGTAACTTCCCAAGTTCCTTCTTCCCCAACCCCTCACTCCCTGCTCTCCCCATTCTCAAAGAAGCAACAAGCAAAGCTGCACGCAATGCCCGTCACCGACAGCTTCTCTCTCAGGTAGACCTGCATAAAAACCATACCTGATCATAATGGTTAAGTGGCCTTTCGTCTCGCTGAGATTATAATTAAAGGAGAGTTGCTCCTTAACAATAATATGGCAATAACATCATTCTGCTTGGGCATTACTGGCCCTGAGGTACTCATTACCAGCCCAAGTGAAGCGGGGGACTGTAATGAGCACCTCAGGGCCAGTAATGACCATAATGCCCAAAGAAAACGATGTTATCACTATTATTATCAATCTATGTGGCCTTATTCTGTCTTTACTTGAAACAATGCTATTTTTCACAAATTTTGCCTTCCAAAGGCACTTCTTGTTAGTTTGCATTACTTTGGTAACAGAGAGTTTTTTCGCGCTTTGTTTTGTCAACTCCTTCCTTGGTAGTCGATTCCAACTGCGAGTCACTGGGTTCCAGCAGATAGTACAAGCATGAGATATCTAAACTCACAAGCGAAATTTTGGCTCAGCTCCCACCTTGACCATAAGCAATCATCCAACCGGGCAGATTGGCATCAAAACACAACACGAGTTTGTTGCCTGCAAAGCATCTAATAGGGGCCCACCAGCGCTTTGGGCTAAACATACTGAAATGAGCATTATATTTTGTCTCACAGACTAAGGCAGTCCTTTTTTTTTCCTTAAACTGAAATATAGCAAAAACAATTAATGTGATTGAGAGGCCTACGCAGGCTCTGAAGAACGCAGCCAAAGAAACCACACAGCTGCATAGATTAAACTGGTCTGTATAGCTCAATTAGTGCTACAGAAATCTTTATTGATTCTGAGCATGGACTTCCTGAGGTTAATCACGACTGCTTCTGCTATTTGTCATTTGTTTCAATTGTGAAAAACTACATTTTGCAACATTTTAGCTTCCCCGGTGACTAAGGTTATCAATTTGTTTCATTTCACGCAGCGCGTCAATTGCAGCAAAAAAAAGTCAGCGTGTTAATAGCTTCTGCAGAGATTGCTTACAGTGTGGTCCAATCTCAAGAGCAGCTTATTACTTTTACATGGCTACGGCCAGATAACTCAATCAAAAGCAAAGTCTTCTATAAGATGAGGCGGTCTGGTCGAATGTTCCGACCCACAGATGAATGTCAGAGAGAAGCTTATTTGTGCACCAGTTAGCTGTACCCTGGATTGAGTGACGACGGGATCGGTTGTGTGTCTCCCCTCACTCTGGGACTTCTAATGTCAATCAGCTGGTCAGGAAACGTTACCGACCACTGGCAAGGAGCTCCGCTCCACGGGGAAATTAGAGGATGCATCTGCTGGCTATGTGGCATTAGAGCCTATAGCTTCATTGAGTGAGATAACACAAACATACGACTGTTTGTGGGACATTGCTGTGCGCAATTGGCTGCCGCGTTTACCCACAAATATACAGTCAATTCACTTTACAGTGTGTTCTGTGAAGCGCTTTGGGACGTCCTCCCGACGTGAAAAGCGCTATATCAAATGCAAGGATTATTATTATTATTATTATTATTATAGGCTCAATGGGATGAATGGCCTCCTTCTGTGCTGTAATTTCTATCCTTCTCAAAGTAGCTGCTCCACTCATTATTGGGGGAGTAGGGAGTGGCAGGTGGTCTGGGAGCTGATCACTTGCCCCCTTCTCTTGAGGGTATGTGCATGATAAAAAATAATAATAATACTCATCCTTGCATTTGATATAGCGCCTTATCACATCTTCTAAACGTCTCAAAGCGCCCCACAGAATATACTGTAAAGTGAATTGACTATATTTTGTGGCAGCCAATTGCGCACAGCAGTGTCCCACAAACAACCGTGGATTGAATGACCAAATCATTTATTTATTTATTTGTTTGTTTATTTATTTTGAAAGGATTATTACCCCTGGAAAAGCGATCCGCCAATCGATTAACAACCAGGTTCCTACATTCTCACTAGGTAAAGAGACGTGTGGAGTGTGGAAACTTGCCCAACATTTTGCCCTGCCCGGGAATCAAAGCCAGGTCCTCTTGCTTGTGAGGCGAGTGCTCTAATTACTTAGCTACAGGACTCCATGATGATGAATGTGCAGGGAGGGCATTTCAAAGCACTTACTTTCATAAAATGTACTATGAAGTGTAGCGACTGTGTATTTTGTCAGGCTAACCCGGCAGCCAATTTAAACAAAGTGAAGTCCCGCAAACAACCATGAATGCTCAAATTCCACCAGGACAGCCGCAATCTTCTGACTCAGAGGTGAGAGTGCTACCAACTGAGCCAGACTCATACACATAAACTACCTAAAACAATTTGAAATGTATTTGAGGCAAATTTTGTTTTAAATCTCTTTTTACTCTTGTGCCCAATTTTTTAAAGAATTTCACAAAATACAATCAATCTGTATAGCGGGAGCTCTCTGCCAAGCAAACCTCATGAGAATTAATAGCATTTATACTATACAGAGGTCTGCAGCTCACTTATAATGAAGAAATGGAGCGGGAAATCATGTTGCTTATTCTCAACAATCACTCAAGTTAATTAAGTCATCCTTTTAACCTAAAAATCCATTTAGCACATGTTCAGTTTTATAAACTAATCGATATAGTCGTATTTGGAAATGCTAATCGTACGACTTTCTCACAAACAGATGTATTAAATGCACATGATTTATTTGGTAATATGGGTAAAAGAGAGCACAGTTTGGGAACCCTTTCGCTTCAAAAGCAGAAGACTTACTTATTTTACTGTAACAGTTCCAAAGGAAAACATTTGTGCCCAAAATGAGATGGAATATTGGCTATTTATAAGAGATTACCATGTGTAAATTGGCTGCTGCATTTGCTTACAAAATATACAGGCCCTATACTCTTTACATTAAGTCCTGAGAAGCGCTTTGAGACGTCCTCCTGATGTGAAAGGCGCTATGTTAAAATGAAAGGATTGTTTGGGTATTACTTGAGCTGCTATTTCAGACATCCAGAAACATTGTGGCCCATTTGCACATATAAAGAGACTTACTGCATTCAGAACCAGGGGGCAAACACTCATTCACGGAGGTTGGAAGGTTATTCATAAACCTGAAATAACAGAACAAAAATAATACCATAGGTTAGTAAGGATTGAGTTACTTTCTAGCTTTGATGGCCTAAAAGACAAAGCAATTGGCCAGCATGTAAGTAATACTGTGGTTACCGCTCTCACTCCAATCTTTTCATTTCTTGCTGCGTCTAATCCTTTGTGATCTGTTTTTTGCAGCACCTCCCAACACCAATGATTAGCTGCGTTGGATTAGTTTTTTCTCCGGGTTAAAAGCGCAAGGAACTAATCCTGACAAACCAACGATTACGTTAATAAAACAAGAAACAACAAATTACATTTGTAAAGCGCCTTTCACGTCGGGAGGACGTCCCAAGGCCCGGGAAACTCGAAAGTCATACACAGTGAGCAACTCTTAAACTCCACAGGCAAATAATTTTAATTTTGACCATAAAGAAATAGGTGAAAAAAAGACTCCCAGTTATCCTTTAAAATAAAATGAAAGTTAATTTGCCACGCTTATTTTGTGGCAAAGAAGTTACTGTAATCTTCAAACTGATAACACAAAGAACATATTTATTGTGCAAGCCTTCAAATAGCATGTGTCGCCCAAAGCACATTTAGCTCTGTGCATTTTAATGGGATTATTGGGAAAGTTTTGCCCCGATATGCTGTAAATACCGAATACTTTGATCTTGTTACAATATTTATGATGACAATTTGAAATTACTACCGCTATGAATGAAAAGAATACTTGGGACACTCAAGGGGTGAAACGTGATATTCTCCAGGAACTGAATTTTGCTTTGAAGATTTTTTTTCAAGCCAGATACATTAAATCATAGAGAAGCAGTTCTTTTTTTTTCCGAAACAGAAAATCATACTTGATTTTAGCTTGTTGGACGGCATTCGGGTCTTTCAGGTTGTGCTCCCAGGGCAGTGTTCCGCACAGCCATTGTAGCATGCAGTAGCCAAGGATTTCCAGGTCACTTCGTCTGGATGGGGCTGAGGGAATATGGATTGAGGAAAGGGAATTAAGAATGAAGGATTAAAAATCGCTCGAGAGAGGAAAAAAAGAAGAAAGCTTTCATTTAACTCGTAACTTGATGAAATGTGCAAAATCCTAGCAGGCAAGTGTCTTGTTTGTTCAGCTGTGCTGGAGTTGGAACGCCCAGCTTTTTGGCTGTGGTTCACAGACAGGCTGTGACTTGTGCAGCAAACGCAGGGGTCAGTTTCCTTACCTCCTCTCCCCCCTCCCCCACCTCCCCCCCCTTCTCCTCATCCTTCCTCAGTCTGGCCTGTCACATGAACTTGATCCCTGTGGCCTCTGACATGATCCAGACAGCTCATAATCCAGCACCAACACTTTCTCAAAGAGCCAGCCATAAAACAAAGAAATAAATGTCTGCCTCTAAATTGCTAACACATGTTCCAGGAAGTCCACAGGGTCTGAATCACCCGTACAGAGACCCCGAGCACAGACTAAACACTGATGGCCTTTCCTTTTCAGCACAAGTGTGTAAAAAAAAGTTTGAGACCATGACAAAACTGCCATCTAGTGTAGAGCAGGAACGGCAGAGATTTTGCACATCAGACGATCGGCTGAGTTTAGCAGCATTTTTAAGATGAATAAAGGGAAATGTGCAACCTTCATCGCCTGAAACGATTGAAAAAGATGCCAATTGATACAGCTGCAGAGCTTTTATTAAAGTACTGATTGCAATTGATTCGCCCACAAAATACACAGCCAATTCACTTTGCAGTATATTCTGTGAAGCGCTTTGAGACGTCTCAACGATGTGATCAGGCGCTATGACAAAATGCAAGGATTATTATTATTATAATTGCAGTCATGCGGTAACAGTACTAAAATCACATTGTGTAGTGGCTAAACCTTTATCCCACAGCATTCCCCTAACCACTAATCTGAAGTAATAGACCAGGCTTCTGTAATATAGCAATAAATATGCGATCCCTTGGGAAGCATTTATTATCTGTTCCTATGATCTAGGGTGGATGCAACAGTGTCCAGACATTGGAACTTGGCTCCCACATTACAACCAACATACCCTGAACTGCAACTCCATTTTGTAGCAATTTTGTAGGATATAAATCTCCTATTAACTTTGGGGGATGATATGATTTATGCATCTTCCTCTCCGACTCCTCACTTTGAATCATTCATTTCACATCTTCTCAGTCACACGCCAAATTCACATCTGTCCTTTTGCATGTGCACATACATCATAGTAAAGCCTGAATCTCCCATTATCCAGCTTTGTCTTAAGTTTAGATTCATAGTTTATTACTGATTCAGCCATTCTGCCCCCACCGCCAACCACCCCCCCCCCCCGCCCCCGCTCTCTGGAACTCCATTACGGAATCCCTCCCCTTCGCTGCCTCTCTTGTCATCTTCAAAACCTGTTTTAAAACTTATCTTTCGGTCACCTCCCCAGCCCCCCCGGCCCCCCTCCCATCCCCCATTGTTGTTGCTAATCGGTTCTCAGTTTCGGGCAGTTCATGGATTGAATGGAAATGTTTTGTTTCCGGAGATTTCTCTCAACATGATTCCCTCCCCGACTGATCCCCTCGAACGGATATTCTATGGTAATTCTAGCCGAAGATCGGCTGGATCAATCTGGTGAAATATTGGATCGTGATCAGGAGTGGAAACCCTGGCTGATATTTCCTTTCCTCACCCCCAGGGGTTCAGAATCCAATTGCAGCTTCCCATCTGCTCCCTGCTGGGAACACTTAACTCATCACTGGATGGTTGTCTAATTCCAGATTTCACGTGCACAAATTTGCCTAAAGTGTGGCTCTCAGTAAAAGCATCATAAAAGAAACCACAATTTAAACGCTTGATAAGAAATACCGCTCACACCCAAACGAATACATCAGTTTCTTTTGCACCGAAAAATGAAAACAAAAATCGTTTTGATTTTGATTCTGGAAGACCGATTTGTCACCACAATACTTAGTGGTTAAAACTGCCAGCTTTGCTAAACGCAGGAGTTATTGACCGCAGCTCTGAGCTGCAATTAAATATCACTAGGTTTTTCCATTAGTAAAGAGATTGCCATCCGTTTCTCACAGAGTGCTGCTTGGACATTGCTCTTTACATTTAAAGGGGAGAGTTTTTTTTAAAAAAATAAAAAAAAGTTTGACAAAGCACACATTTGGTATAAAACAACTGCCTTAAACCTTTTGGTTTGCAAGTGTGTAAATATATATATATAAACCCAGCAGGCAGTTTTAATACATGCCAATACATTTCTCTGAGATCTCACCTCAGGTAGCGTGTAAATAGTTCATTAGAGTAGCAAGGGGTTACCTGGATTACCAATCCACGGTGCTTTCAGTACCATTTTCTTAATACCAACCCTGGCTTTCATTCTAGCGGGCACCAATAAATCTTTAAAACTCGAGAGTTTCACTCAAGCGTGAACCATTGACTTCAGATCATGATCCATTTCTCAGTAATTTTGGCAAAACAAAAGGGGACAAATTAACCAAATTATGCTAACTCTTTTTCCTGCTCCTTCCCACCCCAATATCAGCAGAGTCAACCACTTGAGTTCCCTAAAGGGAAATGGTTCCTGGGAGCTCTCAGTTACAGCTGCAGGATACATATACAGTACAGAATGTGTTCAGGACACATGTATAGGTAGTCAGTCCTGTAACTCAGTGGTTAGATCACTCTCCTCGCAAGCAAGAGACCTGAGATCAATTCCTGCAGGACGAAATGTTGGGCAAGTTTCCTTACTTGAAGCCGATTGTTAGTTGATTGGTGGATAGCTTTTCCGGGGATAATTTGTGGAGTCCTGTAGCTCAGTGGTTAGAGCACTCGCTTTGCAAGCGAGACACCTGGGTTCAATTCCAGGCAGAGGGCGAAACCTTGGGCAAGTTTCCTTACTCCACACAGAGCCTAATAATAATCCCTCCAAAACAAAACAATAATAAATTGTTCATTTTCAATCTACGACTGTTTGTGGGACATTGCTGTGCGCAATTGGCTGCCGCGTTCGCCCACAAATATACAGTCAATTCACTTTACAGTGTGTTCTGTGAAGCGCTTTGGGACATCCTCCCGACGTGAAAAGCGCTATATCAAATGCAAGGATTATTATTATTATTATTATAATAATTCCTTCAAAAAACATAATAATAAATTGGTCACTTCAATCCATGACTGTTTGTGGGCACTGTTGTGTGCAATTGGCTGCAGCATTTCGCCCACAAAATAATTCACTTTACAGTATATTCTGTGAAGTGCTTTGAGATGTCTTGTAGATGTGTAGAGTCTTGTAGAGTCCTGTGGCTCAGTGATTAGAGCACTCGCTTTGCAAGCGAGAGACCTGAGTTCAATTCCAGGCAGAGGGCGAAACCTTGGGCAAGTTTCCTTACTCCACACAGAGCCTAATAATAATCCCTCCAAAACCAAAAACAATAATAAATTGGTCATTTTCAATCTACGACTGTTTGTGGGACATTGCTGTGCGCAATTGGCTGCCGCGTTTGCCCACAAATGTACAGTCAATTCACTTCACAGTGTGTTCTGTGAAGCGCTTTGGGACGTCCTCCCGACGTGAAAAGCGCTATACCAAATGCAAGGATTATTATTATTATTATTATTATTATCAAAGGCAAGGATTATTATTATTATTATTATTATTATAAGTGTTGCAATATCATAATCAATGTGATATTGTTGTAATCAGACCTATACCATCCGAACAATTTGAGCTAGTTTTAAGATGGCGAGGTATTGTGGAAAATTCTCAAATTCAGTCTTACTTTGGAAGCTGGTTCTTTTTAAGAACTGTGGAAAAACCGCTTCCGAATAAAGACTGAAACTAAAGAACTTTCCACAGTTCTGCACCCTCTTAAATCGTAAGATTAATACCGTCTCACTCGCTCAGACTAGGTGGTATTTTGGGCCTCACGAGTGGAGGAATGACAGATGGGGAGCAGAGATTTTGAATCGATTCGCACCACTAGCATTTGCGCTCCAGCTTTGCAATCGGACGCCACACAGTGAAATCAACGTTAAATGGGGCATCAGAAGGAAAGCCACATGGCTTTGCTCTTCATGAAAACATCATTAAAACTTTGTGAGGAAAGAAAAAAACAACTCATAAATCAAGTAACAATGATATTATTCAAAATATAGTACTAAATTGAGCAAATTAAATTTTGGTGGATGAGAAATCATTGCCTCCTGACAAGGTTTTAAGCATTCTTCAGACACGAGAGAAAATTGGCTACCTACATGTGGTCACATCCTATAAGAAGGTTATCCTTCAAACTGCATGATTCGTCAGATAAGGAAAACATGGATGGAATTGTGCTACTTTGTGGTGTGGCCATTCGTATGCAGGTTTATACTATAAGTTAGCGGCTATCAAGCTCACAATGCTTTAACCCTGATTTCACAAACCACAGATAATAGCTATATAGAGTTATTTTGCATAATATGGCACAGAAATAGGTCATTCGGCCTAACTAGTCCATACTAGTATTTATAATCCACATAGGCCCTACCCCTTCAATTCCCCTGACCGGCATCCCACTATTTCTTTCTCCATCTCATTTGCATCACATTTTCTCTTAAGTAAATTGATGTTTTTTCCTTCAATGACAGCTTCTGGCGGTGAGTTCCACATTCTCACCACTCAATCCTCTCAACCCTGGGGAGATTCTCCTGATTCTTCCCATCCACCAGGTTAGCAAACTTCTCAATAGGCCATGGCTCCAGTCCTCAGGCCTCCGCCCTGCTGATATTGGCCTTGAGATATGGACACACGGCTCACTTTTTAACACAGTCCTGCTGTCCAAGGGTATCACACCTGTGTATCTCTAAGAATGCCAAGCCTGGCATCAAACCGTCATAATACAGGTGCCGTCACCTGACTCAGTTTGTAAGAAAAGACTTTGCCGCAGGTCTCTAAAGAACCATTTTAATGGCTACTGCCAATGAAATGCTTTCCATTAGGAACGATCCT